GTGAAAATACGTCATATATCTCCGTCCCAACTAATCCTTTTCCCAATCTGACTAGCGCAAATGAAAGCTCTCAGACTCAGCTTTCCAACGCGCCTTCGATCGTCGCTCTACGACGAACCGTTCCGGAGATACAGCTCTCTGAAGTTGGTCGCCGAAGCGATTTTCAAAAAGGGGCACATCTCCTGCGAGACCCTTTTCAATGTTTTTGCGAATAAAAACTGAACGGATCGACCGATTTTGCTCTGCTTGGTCTCAAAATGCTCGTAAAAGCCTCCTCTATCGAATTGTCGAGGTCAGACCGCTTCAAAGGTCCTAGTTTTTCCGTCAAGTGCTTTCTAAGAGGTCCCTCTCCCACTTTTTGCTTCTTTTTTTTAGTTTCCGATCGCTCTAGCTCAGAGACCACTGCTTCGAATCGCACCAAAACTCGGCCAGGTATAGCCCCAACCGAGGTCTATCCGCCACCAAAGTTTCATCGATCTAGTCCACTCAGGGGCGGAGCTAGAATTTTTTGAAGACGAAAAATGGCAAAAAATCGAAAAATTGAAATTTCGGAAAAATTAGACCTGATGGAGAAAATCTGTTACGAAATTCGGATTCAGCGCCCCCGGTTTACCCCGAAATAGCTATCACTTTCTTTGTAACGATTTGGCTGTCGAGCTGTGTAATCGATCGATCTCGATCTTCCCTTCCACATCCTTTATCAGAAACTCTATAGTGCGCTATCGAAAAACTGAGATCGCGCAAAGTGATCCCGCCGAGTTCAACTTGGCGAAAGAGGAACTCCAAGGGTAATGATCCGTTTCGACAGGAATCGATTCCGTAGAATCCTCGGTTCCAAAGCTGCCGACACCCCCGGATTCGCGTGTCAGTCTGTAGCCTGATTGAACCCTCGGGATTTCTCTACCTGATTTGCCGACATAATTTTCTTCCACAGCTGCCGCTCTATCGAGGTAGTGGCGCCCTCTTATCGTTTTGCCCCCGTGAGCTAGGATCCGAAAACGCTCTCGGTCGCATGGGCTTAGACACCGCGTTCTTTCTCGAATGAGCCATACAATTCTCTCGAAATTCCGAAGCGCAAGGTTCCTCCTCGTATCTCGAATTTATTTGTTCTGGCACCAGGCACAGGGAGGTCTGAAGACTTCTTGATTCGTATATCGATCGCGGTCTGGATCGGAGCTGTGTTGCGGGAGGAGTGCTCGAATTTCTGCTACTGCCTCTCGGAGTCTCGACCGGAATGAGTTTCCTCAGAGGATCCGGCTTCCTTGTGAGACCTTGAGAATCAGGCGACATGCAACACAGTCGAACGCTCATCTAGCTCGATCCTCCGCCGTCTTCTTGTTTTCAGATCCGCGTGAATCTATCATTAGCTCGCAAGACGAGATTAACACCTTGCCAGTATATCCGAGGACGCGCCGCGTTGTTTCTGTTCATGTCTGTACGATATCGTATCACGCGGGGTCATCTTGATTACGTGGAACTCGAGTTTCACTCAATATCGCTTGCTCGATCGGAATCATTTCCAGAATCCTCACCTTCCCTGTAATCGTCCCTCAGAAAGTTGAGAAAGGTCACGGGCGTCGCCGACCGGGGAAACTCCGGCGAATTGGAGTAGATGCTAGAATCTCTCTAATGCATCGCATCGGCCCGACACGGCGTTGTATTAGAATATCTTCATTATAGTATTTGCATCTCCTGGATTCTTTATAACCGGATTCATTACGAACTTTGGAACTTCTGACGCACAATGATTGCGCGCGATCCCTGACGTGCCCATCGCACCTCTCTCGCGGAGAAGCGTTTCCATGGAAGGCGGGTTCCCTTCAATTTTCTCGACCTTTCTCGTCGATTTACCCAGATGATTGCGTTGCGCCAACTCAAACGTGTTTTCGTGCTTATCACGGCTTCACCAGAACAAGCGGGATATCACGCTATTTCTATCCTTCATAGGCGAATCTCTCCTGATTCCGTTTATCAGGCCGCGTCAGGCGATGTAGTAAGCGGAGGTTGTTTCCGGCGCGTCTCGTGGCCAACTGAGAAGAGCTGCGCGCGACCGGCGCCAAAGCGGATCGCTTGCAATATTGAGTGTGCATTTCGCAAGAGAGTCCCCTCGCATCCTCCTACGCTGTCCACAATGAGTCAAAATCTTGTCTGATAGAATCCGCGGAAGGGGGCCCTGCCGAAAAGACATGGTGGGGAGCCAGAACCTGCCGATAAATCGCAGTTACTCAGACCACATACGAGGGATAGAATGATCTTGATCGAAGGGGTATTCGGGCAGCTCCTACATCTCGGACACCGCCTCTCGATGCGCACAGGGTGCGCCGCAAATCCCCGATATCGACCCCGAGTCGCGATCGATGTTTGGAAATCTCGAAAGAGAGTCCGAAGGGCAGCACGGCGCGGTCTACCTCGGCGGTCTGACTGGCGATTCGAGGGCCCCATGAGTCGAATCCTGACCTCAGCTGAAGCTTGAGCAGGCGAAATTTCGTTCGTTCCCATATCATTATTATTTTCGTTCCAAAGCCGAATATGTCCCGCAGGTCGCTTGACTCTCCTGGATAGGACTCCGCTGTGTGCGACAGATCTGTCTTCATGCGAAATCCTTGGTTCACGAGCTCTGCCTCCCTCGAGAATGCCTGTCGGCCACCTCGAGTCGTTCGGGACGGAGTCTGAACCCAGACTCTCGCAGTTTACGTGGTAGAGGTCCGGCAAGGGTCCTGGGGAGCGCTTGAGCTCAGGCTCCAAAGGGCAAAAGTGGCGAAAATAATCTATGGGAGCCGGCAACCGAAGGGGTGGAGAACCAGCGCTCTTCAGACAGCGCGGCGGAGCGATCAACGCAATCCTCTGCTGAGTGACTCCATTGAGAATAGTATGAGGTTCCATTCCGCCTATTTCGGATATTGGGGTCAATCGCTCAACCATCAGAGGAGCTCGATCAGGACCTGCTCGATGCATGGGGACAATCTCATCCCTGTCTGGAAATTCCCGACTGGCGCATGCATCATTAAGTTCCCGGTGCCGCACTACTCATTCCCTAGATCTTCGCTAATGGAATCTTTCCGCTCAGTTTCGCGCTGTCTCGAGCTCCTATGAGACACGTGAATCAGACGTCTCAGGTTCGGAATTGCGGAGACTTGAGGACCTCAAATGAGATCCGAAAACCTAAGGGATGCTCGAACGCGTTTTCCAGATAGTTCAATTTGAAAACACACCTGCCGGTGAATGGTAACCCCGTGGGCGAGTGACTTGACGACAATCGAGTGACCAGCTTCTTTTCTGAAGGAGAAGAATTCTCCTCTTCTTTCGTATGAGGGAGATTCCTGAAGGAAGTCATAGAGGTCAGACGCTCCGCATTTCCGTGTCCGAGCCGAGACAGAAAAAAATCGGAACGAGCTGTGTTCGAGTCTCTGATAGTCGAGAGTGTGAAGGTGGGTTATACAATATCTAGTCGATGTATCGCTCGCATCGACGCATCACAAATGTGGTCGCCGGCTCGGAACACACCGCTCAGGATCAAGCGAAACCTTCTTCGAAACCTACGAACCTACTTCCCCCGTCGCGCGTCGATACATCTGACGAGATGCAGGCGGCCGGAATTCATGGAACGATTTCATCCGATTCCGTATCAGTTTTGTAATTGGCAGCTGATTCCGAATCTCGATCGAAAGAGTGAGATGCGTTGATCGAAGACATCCGCCGATTGCAAAGCGCGCAAGGGGAAGTTGAGAGAAAATTCAAGAATGATCGATCCACGCGGATTCGATGCGGACCACTCAATCGCCAGGGCGGTGGGATTGCGGGTCGCGCATTTATTTCAGGCTGACAGAGAGCATCCGGTATATATTGCAACTCGAGACATTGTCGGTGTCTCATCGCTTCACTCAGCCTAGCAGGACCCTGACGTCAGCGACGCGACCCTAGCTCTGCCGGAGGGCCTGATTGCTCGCTCTCTCACTGACTCGCGAGTGCGTCGAAGATTCGGAGGCTCTGAGAGCGTCGCCCAGGCGGCACTCGACATCGTGATTCGCTCACGCACTACGCATTGAAGGCAACGGATTTTCTGTGGATGAGAAGTGCTCGATCGCGTCGGTAAGACTCAAAACATTCCGCAGACTGAGAGTTGATTGACGGTCGAGGAACGAGCCCACCGTGGGGGAGGAAAAATGGCAGCGAACGTCGCTCCGAGCCTACTCTCTTCTCGCCGGAGTCGACGTTGAATTTCCATCGGGGAGGTTGTCAACAGTGCTGTCTCCGAGTCTGGCTCGGGCAGCTTTCGCTGCGAGGGTTCTCCTCAAGACTTCCGCTTCCGTGCCTGAGAACAGAAAATCGCCGAATCCCAAAGAGGGATAAGGGAAGCCTCTACTGTCGGGACCGAGGTCCGCCGAACGAGCCGGTCGCGGAGCTTCTTCCAACTCGTTCGTCCGTCCTCGGATCGGTTATCTGGGTCAACGCCCGCGGCGAGTGTGGAGTTTTTTCCCAATGACTGTGAATTCACTGTCGAGATTGCCGAAAAAATTCCTATGAGAAGCGATTACTCCATTTCCTCCGTGCGATCGCGGAATCCAGTCCAGAGTCCGTTCTTGTTTTGTCTGGTCGCGCTGTTGAAACTTTCGGTCCCGATTCGTGTCACTTCTTCGGACCTTTGGTCCGCGGAGACAAGGTTAATCTCGACTATTGTTGGATGTATGATTCTAAATTTGGCATCAATGACGCGCGCAAGCGCATCACAACATCCTGCGAGACAATTCTAGCTCCGTGCCGATGTCCATGCTCTCCAAGGACCCGTTTCGCTTCATAAAGTGGCGATATCGTTTGTCTGGCCCGCCGACATCCGATTTCTTAGTGAGTTTTGCGTCAGAAGCTCAATGAAAAAAAAATGCGTATTCCCGCTGCATTCACTACACGGACGCTCAGGTTTCTCGAGAAGCGGTTTCGCCCTCGCTGAACTCTCTCCCCTTCAGGCTCCTTAGATATACTCTCGACGTGGAGACGGCCGAGACAGACTGGAGACTCGCGGAGCGCTAATTTGACGAGGTACCACCTGCTGAAGACGTTCAGAGTCGTCGCTCTCGGGGCATTTTCTTGAATTCTCGAGCGGCCTATTGCTATTTATATTCGTCAACCTTGGCTCGATGGCCCTGAATCTCAGATCTCCGACCATCATCGGCTCGTGGCCAGACTGCGCCACTCATTTGCGGCGCGTTCAAGACAGTGCGAAAGTTTGTGCTGAATTCTTCATTGATCGTTCCGGCAGGGGTTCGGTTCCTTCATCTTCTCCAACCTTGCGCAGTTCCTGAGCGTACGGATCCTCGTCGGACGCGAACCGAAATATGGCTGATCAGGTGTCACCCGGTGCGGGTGTGGGGGCTTGCCTCGCCTCAGGTCTACTGAGGACTCTGAACTTCACGTATGATCTCGCTACCCTGCCCTTCTACACCCTTTTCCAGATGCCGTGGCGGCAGGCACAAGCACGGTGAGTTTCCTGAATTTTCGGCTGCTCCGCCCCGGAGTTTTCCGTGACTGGGAAAAGAGAGAGAGCACTGACGACTTGATCACGAATCCTCAGGCGGAAATCATTCTCCGTCCAGTTGGATCCCAGCGATCCCTATTCCCCCTGGAAGGCGAAGAACACGTGGGAGCCGGAGTTCTTCGAAGGAATCACCACGGTGGATCAGTTGACTCGCCGAGCCGTCAAGCGTTTCAGCGACAAGAGGTGTCTCGGTACTCGTCAGGTGTTCCGTGAAGAGATCGAGACACAGAAGAACGGTAAAACGTTCAAGAAACTCGATCTCGGGGACTATCAATGGATGACTTTCAAAGAGATGGACGACGCTCTGGAGCGCCTCGGTAGAGGCTTCATGTCGATGGGAGTCAGACCGAAGCAGAACGTTGTCATTTTTGCCGACACTCGGATCGAATGGATGCTCGCGGCTCAAGCCCTGCTCCGACTGAACGTCACCGTGGCCACTCTGTACGCCACATTGGGCGAGGAAGCGATCATTTACGGTGCGTTAAGTAGTCTTCACCTGTGCGTGCAGTATTTTCCCCCCGAGAACTAGCGCTCAAGTCCGAACTAGATTCTCTTAGATACTTAGGAATCGAATCGAGCTTTCCAATTCGACCACAGGGCTCAACGAGACGGAGGCGACGCATCTCGTGACCTCTCAGGATCTTCTACCGAAAGTTGTCAAGTCGCTTCCTCAAATCAATTCAATCACCCACATCGTCTACATGGAGAACCCCGGCTCTGAAGAGTCACCTGATCCGGTCCAGGGCATCAATCTCTACAGCTGGACGCAGCTCCTGGAGATGGGCGACAACGCCGATGAGGAACTCCGGGGTGAGACACCCACCGGCGACGATGTCGCGATTCTCATGTACACGAGCGGTTCGACGGGAATGCCGAAGGGCGTGATGATAACGCATAAGAACATCGTGACCACGGCGAAGGGTTTCGCTTCCCTCGTCGTGATGGAAAATGTGAGTAACACCCAAGACCGAATATCCTCTTCTCGGATTCACTTATCTCAAACTTGACGCTCGATCATGGTCAGTAGAAGGATACGGCGAGATCTTGATGGAGATTCAAATCTCCGAGGATTTCTTCCGCGGACGACTCTGATCCTAAAGAGCCCGTTTCCGGCGAAACTCGTAGCTTCCGACCGTTTATCGATCCACACGCCTAACGATCGGACTTTGCTTCCTCGTCCCGAACAGAGCCCGAAGAGAACGGAACGTTTCATCGCATATCTCCCTCTCGCACACGTCCTCGAACTAGCGTCGGAATCCGTCGCGTTCGCGATCGGGGCCGAAATCGGTTATTCAACTCCTCTGACCCTCACGGACAGGAGCACCGCGATCAAGCGGGGCCAGAAAGGCGACTCGGCCCTCTTCCGGCCCACGTTCATCGCAGCGGTTCCTCTCGTTCTGGACAGGATAAAGAGAGGCATGACAGAAGCCGCTCATGCTCGCGGTCGCTTCGCGGGAGCCCTCTTCGACTGGGCGATCGCGTACAAAATCGGGTGGCGTCGATGGGGATACGACACTCCGATTCTGAATCGGCTGATCTTCAGTAAACTTCGGCAAGCCGTGGGCGGCGAAGTGAGACTCATCGCTTGTGGTTCTGCTCCTCTTTCTGCCGACACGCACTATTTCATCGAGGCTGTTTTGGGCTGTCGCGTCGTTCAAGGCTACGGACTGACGGAGACCGCGGCCGGAGCGACGATCATGGAACAATGCGACGTGACCAAAGGCATGGTCGGATGTCCTCTTCGTTCGGGCTTGATCAAGCTTGCTGACTGGGAAGAAGGAGGCTACCACGCCACCGACAAACCGAATCCTCGTGGCGAAATCGTCGTCGGAGGGGACATGATCGCCAAGGGTTACTACAAGAACAACGAGTTGACACGAGAAAGTTTCCGCGAAGAGAACGGCGTTCGCTACTTCTACACGGGCGATATCGGCGAGATCAGGCCAAACGGAACCATTAAAATCATCGATCGCAAGAAAGACCTCGTCAAACTTCAATTCGGGGAATATGTGTCCCTGGGAAAGGTGAGTGTTCGAAGTCTCGATCTCGACGCGAAGTCGAGAAATCGTACGGAGATCGGTCCAGTCGCAGAATACGCGAGATATATGTACATATGTCCCGGCATGAATTCCGACTCTGTTTCAGATCGAGACCGAGCTGAAGACTCTTCCCTTCGTCGACAACGTTTGCGTGATCGGTAACTCGTTCCATACCTACCTCGTAGCTCTGATTTCCCCGAACGAGAAGAACCTCACCGAGTTGGCTCAGCGGCAAGGAAAAACCAATCTGACCCTGGAAGAGATGTGCAAGGATCCCGAAATCAGCCAATACATCACCGATAGAGTCATCGAGCATGGAAAGAAAGTTAAGCTGAGTAAAATGGAAGTACCCAGCAAAGTGAAGCTTTGTCACGAAGAATGGGTTCCCGATTCCGGCCTCGTCACTGCAGCCATGAAAATCCGTCGAAAACAGATTGAGCTATTCTATGACGAAGAGATCGCTGCGATGTATGGTCTCGCTAGAACATCCTCGAAAAGCGCCTGAAGCAAACTCATTGTACATAGTCTGTGAATTTGTCTTGTGAATACGTTTTGAGTATACATAGGCTTAGGTCTGGAATGAGCTTGTGATGATGATAGCTCCGTAATGATTGAAACTTGGTAAACTTTATCGTCGAAGAGAGAATTTGATAAATGAATAAAATTTTAGAAAAACGAAAGCCAGTCAAAATTATCGTTTCTTCGGGAAGCAATTGGAGCTCGTGGCAACCGCGATAGCATCGACGAATTCTGGGAGCGCTCTCCTTGGAGGAGGGATCCGAAAAGGCACTTTTCCCGATCAACGAGAACCGACAGAGAGTTTCGGGTCAGCTCTCCGACAGCCTCGTGCAGCCAGTCGGTAGCGTGAATATATTCATGTATGTTCGCTCCCATTGTCTGAAGCTCGAAATGTTTGATCGGAAACCGCCAGGATAAGCCTCATATCAGAAGATGTCTCGTACTCTTCACGAGGCAGCCCGCGTCTCGATCCGGAACGATCAATGCGGCTCATTCAGCTCCACACCATGATTGGGACGCGAGAGGGTATCGGATGCCGTGTCCCGCACTACCTATGAAGTTATCGCAAGAAGGAAGTCTCATTTGTTTGGGTGATGCCTTTGAATCGGATAGGGCAGGACGAGCAAGCACCGTACGGAGCTTCATTTAGGCCGAGACTGACTTTTGGCCGCCGCAACGTCCAACACGGATGGGAGATTCCCGTAGAATCAGGTTGGAGCTCGATCGTACTCTTCGGATTTATAGTTGTCCCTCACAGACTCCACACGAGGAGGCCCGACAGTGACTGTTGGAATTCCTTTCTCCGTATGCTGACGAAGGGATAAAGTGAAGGGATTGCTCTTGCTCACACTGCGGGATCCGGCTGCCATCTGAATCGGGAGCGTCGATTTCTGTCTCATTCTTAAGCGCGTGAAAGACTAGCTCTGTGCGCTCCTCGTCAGATAAAGCAGCCGAATTCGACCATTCGCGAACAGGTCTTCCGGTTCTCCCGGAGATTAGCATAATCCGACGAGAAGGTGAATACTCCAATCTTGCCCCTGAGGCCAGGGAGATCCTATGGACGAACGCGGCTCGTATCGGATCTAATTCGAAAGGTTCGACGAGCGCAGGCCCAGCGACGAGTGATGCCACGTCTTTTAGAACTGTGTACTATCTATGTAGATATTTCCATTTGAGCGCACTCTTTTGAGCTTATCACTAGAGGACTAATGGTTTTCGCGATATCAAGTCGAACCGCCGCTCAACCAATCTCCGACGTTTTCCTCCTCCGGAAAGACTCCAAGCTATTCCTAATCGATGCGGGATCACTTCACTGAGCGCACTACCAGGCAAACTCTTCAGTCGCACGGATATTGAGTTCTTCTGCGAAATGTACGTATATCGCTAGGCAGCTTGCTCTCATACTTCAGCAATCGTGAGCGCTCTCTGATGTCCCAACGGATCGCCCACGATCTCGGGATCACCATCAAAGCCTGCTCACTTTGAGAAAGAGTTTGAGGGAAGCGCGATCCTTGACGATATTCTCCGATGTTACGGCGGATCGCACAGCATCCCGGAATCACAACCACAGCCCGGCGGGAGCTCGTCGGAGGCGCGATCCTCAGGGATCCCACGATTTTTCCTGCGATCCCGTGGCGGATCAGACGGAATCTCGAAATCGAAGCCCGCGCTAGCCGAAGCTGGAATAGCTCGAGGGACGGCCTGCTCCCGATCGGATGCTTGGCGAAGATCATGCATTTCATAGTCTCCAAATCGATTTTATATTTGTCTTACGCTGGTTCTCCGAGCGTGTACCGTCTTACGAACCAGAATCGCAGGTGCCAGAAGCTAATATCGCAGAAGCCAGAAAGCTCAGCAGCCAGAGTCGCGGAAGCCAGAATTCCCATGGGCCAGGATTCTCAAAGGCCGTAAGGCGTGAACATTGGCAGAAGGTTGGTCGGAATTCGGCGGGTAGTGAGCCTTCGAGAGAGGGTTTTCCCACAGCACCGATCCCCGAATGTCATCTTTGAACACAGGGTCCCCCGGTCTCTCTCCCGGTCTCCCGAGCTCCATCGGACCACGTCATCTGTGGTATACCGGTTTCCGAGTCGTGGAAGAATTGCGATAATGGGCAAATCCAGTTGCCTTCCTTGCGATCGCGCATGTCCGCGCAGCGACCGGAGAGAAAATTCAGGCACACCAACTCAACTCCACTAAAGACCGACCGGGGTCCAAAGCTCAGACTTTAGCGTTCATGTCCCTCCTCCGCGCGGTGGTGCAAGCTGAGATATTGTTCGAAACGCCGCTCGCTGTTGTCAACAATATGTATTAGTCATTCAGCGACTTTCGAGAGACAAGGAGTCGGCCTCTCAAATTGTTCCGCGAACGAATGCCTTTAAAGATCTAGAAATGACGGTAGCCTGCAACAAGACCGACGCTCAGGGCAGCGGGGATTCATCATCGAACCGCATGAGATGGTGAGTTGGGCGCTTTCGTCATGGAGAGACACGATGGATCTGGCAAACGGGTTCCCCCTGGCGACATCGAGAGTTCCTTCAGTGGCCTTTGGTTATTCGTCGGGATCTTTGCCTTACCGGTACCTCGTGTGGGTCCAGAGAATTCCGGGGTCTGCTGAATTAGACCAAAGGTCGAGCCGCTGCATGAACGACTAGCATTCGCCCATGCAGGGGAGCTCCGTTGTAAGTAGATGAACCCCCACGGTCCCTCTCGACAGCATTTATTGGGGGAACATGGACTGATTGCATTAATGAGCAGTAGTGCCATTCGATCTGACGACGCGACGGTACAACTCTTGATGATATCGCCGGATGGCGCGAAGAGAGAAGGTCGCAACCCTCGGAATGCCGTCAGATATCGGGGAAAATTACAGCGAACCCCTCCGGGTAATGTAATCACTAGAGCCCGTGACTTCATGCAAAATGCATATAATGCTTAAAAATGCATATTCTGGGCTTTTCCTCCTGAAGATGCATATTCTGCGCTTTGGGGCATAATTCTGCATATCCCATATTTTCCCCATCGATTCTCGCGGGTCTCGACGCTGAGAGCGACGTACAGCCATGGTCAACCGAGAATAGATGGGAACGGTGACGAATCGGATACATCTTCCCGGATTTAGACAAGTTGGTCTCCAACGGGAAGAAAATTTTCCTGAAGTCTGCCGATCGGGTGAGCACATTCCGCGAGATCGCCCCCGGAGTGCCGCTGCCACCCCAGCCAGTTCTGACAAGATGGGGTACCTGGTTGAACGCAGCCGTCTATTACGCCGACCACTTCCATTCATTTTCGAAGGTTTTGTAAGCTCTGGACGTCAAAGACGCTGCGAGCATCGGAGCGGCTGCTCAATTGGTGAGGAAGCCCTCTGTAGGGAATTATCGCTCTTATAAAAGCAAACTTCGGAGAGCTCCCGCATGCCATCGAGAAAGTCGAACCGAAGGGACTGTCTTTGGTAGGAAGCGTGGGTATCTTCGAGGCACTTGTTAAAGATCTCAGGAAAACACCCGGTGATGTTGGGGATTTGGTCCCTAGGAAATGCGATGCGGTTTTGATTCGTAATGGCGGCTTCAAAATTCTCAAGGATGTCTCGGACATACTTCAGGGGGGCAGCTCCACGGATAGTCTCATTGGTCGCGACCCCTCGGAGATAGCCTGCTTCAAGTACGCACCGATCACGTCGGTGGATGTTGAAAGGAGCTCCTCTAGTTTGAAGCAACTTCTCAGCGCCCGTCGTCAGAGTTTTACGTTTTAAAATTTGTAAGAATGCATCTCATTGTCTACTGTAACCCGTAACCTAAATTGTGCCTGTATTAAGCAGGATTGAGTCAATTCCAGAAAGTATCATAAAACCTGAACGAAGCTCCTATTTTTTTGTGCATATTTCTCTTTTTCAATGCATATATCGGCCCTTTTTCAGGGCATACTTGCATGCATATTTCCGGTTTTTATAGTGCATGAAGTCACGGGCTCTAGTAATCACAAATCAAGAAATTTATTATTCGATGGAACAACCGATAGTGATCTATCCACGAGCAAAAAGAAACATGATCGGCCCTGCGGAAGCGCGATACGGCCAGGAGCTGAGTGGGAATCGGGAGAAAACGCCGAATATAGTCCTCGTGGAATGAGACGATGTCCACTCTAGGGCTCGTAAGTCTCCTCGATAGATTGCCGTCTTCGAGAGCTTTGGAGGGAAATCACCGGCGCTGTCGATCCTCTCACCGTAATGGACTAGGGTTCCGAGGGAGCATGGAATGGGGAAGATGTAATTTCAGTCGCTCGCCGACATTTTTCTGATTTATGAACGACGAGGAATCGTACTCTCTAATGAGATCAATTGCTTTTCGGATACCGTCTAGCTATTTGTGCTTCTCATCAAGATTACTTTTAAGGCACTCTTGACTAGCGAATCTGGCTGTGCATGCTAATACTTTTGGTCATCAAGCTTTCACTGTTGGTCTCTATGTGGCTAGTATACCGATCACGTCCAATGTACCTAATCGTTTCCGGAGCGGCATAGAACTAAGCGAGGGGAAGCTCATGCCCCTTGCCGCTTCGAGTTCGGAGGTCCTACGATAGACGGGATCGGGGATGGGCGTAGCGTCCGAGCTTCCGCGAGGTTGTTCAATGAATGAGAAATCAGTGCCTGAAAAGTTTTTCTATTCTACGTTTGGAATATCACTATAGCTGAATCCAGGAACGCCGTAGTAGGCTTGATACGCGATATAAGTGTAGAAGCAGCCCGGTATGAATAGCAATCCGCCGAGGGTGTATAAGCCCCACATGGATTCATGGAATGCAGCGGGCAGCAAGGACAGATTTATCGAGATGGCCACGCTCAGCAAGATCGAGCCTGAAACAAGTGATGAGTTGCTCAGGGATTTTTCTGTCTCTTCCCATCGAAAGCGAGATATTTCGATGCGATACAGTCGCGCCCATTCCGGCACGAGATTTGGTCATGTGACGTCGGTGCTTACCTCCGATGAAGAGAAGTACCGCAGAAAAGATTGACTTGTACGGAACCTTCGTGTGCTTCGGCATATCGAATTGTTCCGGAACGAAGTCATCGTTCCGAAGTCTCCTGTAGGTTTTCTCCGGCGAAAAAGCTGCAAGGTCGGGAATGGTATCTGAATCTGGGTTCTTAGATATTTTCTGCCATGTTTTGCTCCTGCTCGAAACGCGAAGCGATCGACTCCGCATCCAGGTAACCTCGACACAGTTATCGCAGAGTCGCAAGTGTTTCATGCGCTAGCTCAAAGGTCGGAATGGAGAGAAGGCACGCGATGCATAGTATCGTGAAATTCCCTGGACTGTATCCCATGGCGGAATTCCAGATGCCTGCTGAACGCTTTCCCTTCCCTGAGCGGAGGAGGGTGGAAATTGGACGTTAGATTTTCCTCGCGGCCATCGAAGATTTTTTCTAGATCTTTCCCATCGTTCGAGGGCACTTGGCTCTTCAGGAAGGGCCAGCAGTGTAAAGGATTCCCTCTGTCAGGTTGGAACAAAAAGAGAGCTGTCGTGAGTTTCTCGAAAACGGTTTACGGGAGATTCGTGGAGCGAAGCGTAAGTCACGCAATCCCTGCAATGGAATCGCCTCGGTTTGGAATAGACTGGGCGACCAGAATGACCCACGAAGTTCTTCATCAGTGAAGATTACGAACGAGTTTTATCGGTAGTAGTACTAATGATCGACGCATAACCGAGCCCCGGCGAAGAGATTGCGAGTCTCTACGGCTAGCGGATTCCCTTATGCCGATCTGACTCTCTACAGAAAACCATGCTCGGGTAGATTTTTGCCGTCGGCGACGACGCTCTACCGCTTGCCTGATGGGGGCAGGGGAAAAGTAGCCCTTATGGAGCACATGCCAGTTTTGGAACTGGGGATTTAACCTGGCGATCCATGAATGTTCACGGTTTTGTTCCGCAGACTCCTATGGGGTGTTCCAAAACTGGTTCCCCTTCCCCCCAAACCAGCGGGCGTGGGCCGGCATTTCTCGATTCTAGCAATTTCAATCCCCGCTTGGGGGGACCGAAAAACCCGTGCCCCTCCAGCTCGTCGATGGGTCAGGTCGATATGCTGGGCTGAATCGGCTGGGAGACTGACAGAGCTGCTATCCACCAGAAGTGGGGCATTCCATCTTCGAGAAGCTCCAAAAATATCCACAAGAATACAATCGTCGTTCTGCTGGCAGTGAATGCCGGATAATCCATCGAAGTCATTCCTTTTCCAGGCAACAGAACAGGACCGCCATGGCCGAGCGGCAGAGCCAGGAATGCGCCCGGATTCAACGAGTGAGTTTCTCCCCCGAAATGGGAACAGCATACTCTAGAGGCGTAACAATTTTTGTGTAGACGGGGCCCGAAATAACCACTTGGCTGGCTCGTTGATACTCTAGCTCAACAACGTTGTGGACATATCTTCGGAGGAGACAATTCGGAAAAACGTCGCGGAAATCGCTCGCATCGCTTTCCCCTCTTGTGATACATCCAAGGTCAGTGATCAGGTATTTTCTGTCGATCTATGACAAATGCTCCGAAGACATTCGATTGTAATGTCAAAATCACCGAACGCCACCGAACGCCTCTAGAGGTTCTGAGGGCGTCGATTTTCTCCTATTCCAGCTCTCTTACAAAGTCCTCACTGGAGGCTTGACGAATAAGTTATTCCTCTGCGAATATTCTCCCAGCGGACCGAAATTCCTCTGTCGGATATATGGGGAGAAAACGGAACAATTCATAGATCGCGAGGCCGAAATCCAAAACATGCATTTCCTGTATAGCCATGGCATGGGACCAAGAGTACACTGCACTTTCCGGAATGGCGTGTGCTACGATTTCTTCCCCGGTCAGGTAAAGCTCCCGATCGTGGTCCGGTGTTTGGAGACGCAGGGACGAGTTGTTTCCGCTGGAATTTCCGTTCCTTGAAGCTCACGGTACTCTCGTACTTTTTCAGACGTTCGATCTCGAAATGGCAACAAATCCAAAGTATTCTTTTAAAATAGCAGAGCATATGGCGCGTATGCACACGATCCCATTGCTGCCCAGTCACGGAGAAAAGGTAAGATTCCAGCTGGGAACCTACCATGGTGGCCAGGTGTCGCTACCTGAATAGCATGTCCGTTTTTTTTCTAGAAGCCGTGATGACCCGCTTCTATTGTTCGCAAACGTCCTTCACAGGCAAGAATTGAAAGTATGTTGGATCATTATCTCAGCCTGGTGCCCTTAGAAACCATTCAGTCTGCCGAAAAGAGATTGGAAGTCGAATTCAAGTGTGTGGACTTAAGACACGAGGTTTCTTCGAATAAGAAGGTTCGATATCCATCTGGGCTCTCATCACCCGATTCATGTCCTCTCTTCGAGAAAATTAAGATGCCCCCGACACGATACTCCATCTGAGACTTCTCCAGGTACTGCGGACCATGGAGAGCGCCGTCGTGTTCTGCCACAACGATCTCTTACCGAAAAATATTCTCCTGGGCAATAATGACGAGATATACTTCATCGATTACGAATACGCATCCAGCAACTATCAGGCATTCGACATCGGTAGGTTGGATATTCTTAGGAGCTTTCCGGAGAAGAATAGCGAGATGAGCTTTCCGAACAATGCTTATTGAAGGCAATTACTTCACCGAATTCGGGGGTCAAGAATCATACGATCGGAGTTTGTACCCTGGGAAGGATTGGCAACTTCGTTGGATAAGAAGCTACCTCACAGAATACCATCGCCTCAGAGGTACCGAACACGCGATTATTATTCGGCATTAGTCTCAGAGATATGATTCAGTGCGGTCACTAGCGTCGGTCATCAGAAGCCGAAGAGTCGACCGAACAATTTGATTTTGATTCGCTAATTACTTTTCTAGGCACCGGACCTCCGTCAGACACTGAAATCGAGACCATGTACATTGAAGTTAACAAATTGGCTTTGTCGTCGATGTTGCTCTGGGGAATCTGGGCCTTGATACAAGCCGCGAACTCGACGATCGATGTTGATTTCGTGGGATTCGCAATCTTACGGTTGGGGATGTACTTTTACAAGAGAGACGAGTTCCTAGCTTTATAATTGATCGACCTGACCTGGCTCGAGACTAATATGACACCATCCCGGTTCCCGTTCGAACTTAAACCCGTGGGGCACCTCGGATCAAGCGGTATCATTATCAACAGAAAATGGGCCAAGGAGAAGAATTTCACGGTGCAAACTCTCAAACTCTCTAGACCGCAATATCGCGGTGGATGTCACCGCGACTGCTTTCGAAAATTCAATATCATTGTCCTTCATACTTCATACCGCGGCCGCCGAAATAATTTTTGTGTCTTCTCCTGTCCTGCCCTCATTTGCTCCCTGTCTTTCGGAAAAAGAAACTGATAGGATACGTCACCGAATAAATAATTTGAAGATTGGGAGACTCTCAAAAGGAACCTGGGATCTGATTCCTATACTGACGGCTCGAGCTTACTCCGATCTGATCCGATTTGGAAAGATCAGGAAGATACGAGAAAGCTTTATGGGAGGGGGTTGGGCAACAACTCCAGGCGTCGTGATTTCCGTAGGGAGAATGAGGCACAGAGGATATATAATCGTGACCGAACCTCAACTCAGCTCTCAATTCGCCGGAGAGCTACAGATTATTTGATAAGAATGGAGAGGGTACACCGCGAGATGGAACTCAGCAGACCACACGGAGGGGGTTTTCCGGCGCCCGGCCTATCGATTCGGTCAGCGATTTGTGGGTGTCTGTTTCAGAATGAGACCTCATCGGTGAATATCGAGGCCGCTCAATCGCAGCTCACTGGTACGTGCAGGATCTCCTCGGCCGTAATCCTACGGTCGAGGAGAGGCTCGGGCCGCATTCAAGAGAGAATATTCTTCATGGCTTCCCCTATCTTGAGCCTCGTGAAGACGCTTGGTAGAAGCGATTCAGCTCGCAGCATCGCAATCGCCATTTTTCTCGACTACAGGTGCCTCCGCTCTGAACTTCATTGGAAGGTTCAGAGATTGGCATCGAGCGCTTTCCGATGTTCCCGGCGAGTTGGAGGGAATTCGGAGGCGTCCGAATTGCGGAACTCGTATGCGACAGTATACTATTGGACTTCACCGACCATGTTTGGTCTTAGCTCCCGGCAATTGAATCTATTCCACGGCTATCGAGGGTTTCATTATCAGGTGTCCACTCATTCCCTCTTCGACAGGAAATATGTATCAGTTTACACCGACAATTCATGGTTCGCAGATCTTGCCAGAGAGCTCGCAGACTTCGAAGATTCCGAGAATCGAGGACGAAACTCTGTTTCATTGATCCGATGTTTCGAATCGCGAAATCAGGATCTTCGATTTCGTTTCCTGATCGTAAAATTCCTTGAGCGTTCGATCCGGCCGCACGGTGGAATCGAGTAGAGAAGCTGTTTTGGCGAGTTGTTTTGGCAGGTGGTGGGAGACTCGATATCAGAGGGAGCAAGGGAGTCGGGAGAATTAACCTTGTAAATCAGTCATTTGTCGATGTAGATCTGATATGTCCCACATACAGCATGCGACAGAACTGAACTTCATCGATATCACCCTGGGGGCCGAGAACAGACTCATGTAATGATGATCTCAGGACCAGAATGTATGCCGGTTCCCACCTCGATTTGTCCCGAGTAAATTACCTCGATAATGCGCGGCCGGAACGTTGTAGTCGCTCTAACCCTGCGGAACATGCTCAACCGTCGAGTTGTCTACTCATGGTGAAGAATTCAATACCGTACCGGGAAAGCCGAATTCGCCTAGAACGCAATGCCTAGGGATGTAAATTTCACCCTTAACTTTCGCGGAAATCTCCGGCTACTCCTCATAGACTTTCAAGGGAGGCCGCGAATTCGGCGGAAATTTTCCGCGAAAAATCTTCATCCCTAGCGATGCCCCAGTCGATTCGGGATACCCATCATGCGAATGCCGAAGAATCTACATAGAGTTGCACGTTTTCTAGCAGCCATGAGCTTCGGCTGTTGGACGGACGTATGTCTCGCTGCTTTTAAATCACTCGTGTGAGTTCCGGAAGGCACAAGCTCCGACTGTTTCGAGACTCAAAACAATGCCACCGGGAGCTCTGATACGGGATCTTTTCGTCCGCCTTCCTACAATGATGGAAAAATCCGGTATCGGAGATGGAACGATGCTGTCCCACCAGCTCACTGCAACGACAGGGCGTTGTCACCGATAGGAGGAGTCCTTGGAGAATCACTAGCGAGTACTCTGAGACCTCCGGTACAAGAATAGTTCGTGACACACTGGTCACGGGCCGTGTCGCTTCTTCTTTCGAATCGAAAACTGTCTGTGGGATCAATTCCAGACATCTCATCGGGATGCTCGGAGTCAGTCATTCGGAATCAGATCCAAGCCGACCGGGAGCGTGAGTGAGAAGCAAGCCGGAAGCCGGGGAAAACGTCGAAGCGAAAGGAAAGCCGCCTAGGGGACACGTGGGCTCCAGAGAGTCACAAAAATTTGGAATACAATGAACTCGGAAATGGAGCGCGGGAGCTTCGGTGTCGATGAGGAATCAGTACTGCGGACGAAGATCGAAGACCCTACCTTTGCTCGCCGCGGAAGTCTTGATGATGTCGAAGAATTCCTTGGCGTCTTTCCGGCCCATTTCGGATTTTGATATGGGCCAGGGTGGAAATCAAGAACTGCACCGGGAACGATCACGGAATACGCTCCTGAGCGCGATCAGCTGTTCGGCGGCGAGGATTAAGTCAGGAAGCCGCCATTTTGCGATGAATGTTATAACGCTACCCTCTCCGAGAAAAATGGCGTCGTCCCACTTTTCGTTGACTACCGCTGAATTTCGAGAGCTTCCCAATTGAATCCTATTTTTTCTCAGCCTAGCCATTCCACGGCGATCAGGTTCGCTCGTCATCGATATTTTTCACCTCTAACCTTGGGATAATAGGAGGTGTACGCAAACAAATGTGATGGACCGCCCGTCCGCGTTGCCATGGCAATTCCTATATAAAATAGACATAAATCATTCCCGAAACAATTGAAGTTCTGTCTCTGCATCACACAAATTTCGCGGTGGGAACATTTAAAGGAGTTGTCTTCAGGAGTCGCTTCAGAAAGAGGGGCCACGAAGTCAAATAGTCATTTTCCTGGCTCCCGGAGCCCCTCTTCTTCACGGAAACATGTCAGCCAACCAAGATGTGATTGATCTTCGGGTGAGTTCGCAGAAGATGAGTTAGGCTTAGTTAGTCGGAGAGTTCTGGCTTTTCGAAATTCTCGATCTCTCCTCACGTGTACTCCTGAGTCGGGATGAGATCAGCCATCTCCGACGAGTTGAACTGATTCGATCCGCTGATGGGTGATCGCTACGCTGGGTCACCAGCCTGTCACACCGCATTCGAATTGGCTCATATGTGCCCCCGACGATTCTCCAGATACAGGGCCGTCCGTCTGAAACAGAAAACCACGAGCACGACGGACGGAGCGAGTATGAACTTCGTCGTCATCGTAGTTATTCAAGAGCTCCGTCGGGATTCCTCTGCCGTATCACACAGATGACCCTTCCGGCCGAGATCAGGCCAGATATAGCGTGACATATGCAAGTGTGCGCTCTCCGGTTCAGGAGAGATCGCTATCTGTTGAACGAAATCCGAATAGTGAAACGAAGTCTTCACGCCCCCAAGTCCCATGTCTCATGTTCCGAGACTCGATGCTCATGAGATTTCAAATCGGTGATGGGCCGTTTGCGTCATATTCGCTTTCACAATGAGTCGGAGACGCCGACGGCTCGCTACGAGCAAAGGGTGATGTTTACAAGCACTTCGCTGTTGCGCAGAGCTCATATCGTGGAACGTCGCCTTCGTCTGAGCAAGAGTCGATTGAGCGCAGCTCCTAGCGATTATCCCGAGCAGAGACTGCTAGAGTATGCCGCGACAATTCCTTTATTTAGCTAGCTTCCTGTCAGCGCAGCCCGTCCTGCTTTGGACTCCTCGGGTTAATGAGTGGAACGATATCGCCCAGATCTGAAAGCTCGGAAATCCACGCTCGGAAATCCATTGGGTGTTGTCCTGTAACGAGATGTGGAGATCTAATGATGCCAGCTCTAAGCGACCCCCACCCCCCCAACTCCTTCTCATGCTTCTCTGGAGAGCGAGTCACAAGTTCTCCGTCGTCAACGCTGACCGTTGAGATAGCTGAGCCGACGAAAGGAGGAAACACCCCATCGCCTGTTCAAGCTCAGAGAAGCATCGGGGATCGACGACCGGGATCACTTGTGAGAGGGAAATCGATTTTTCTCCAAATCAATCATTGAACTTGAGGGCAGTATCCTCGATGAGAGCGCGATGGTCTCCGATGCGGGCCGGCGATCGGCATATTTTGAGACTCTGGTGCGAGGGCACTCCTCCAAGCCGGCGACAGCGTGGTACCTATTCATTGTCCACCGGAGAAATCGGATGAGCAAGGAACTCGAATCAATGACCGTATAGTCCTTCTTGAATGATCTTCTGATGAAACGCTGATAAACGCTCTAGACCCGGATGACTTTATTTAACGAGAGCCGATTTTGAGTCGAACGGTCAGGAATTGTTCCGGGAGGCGATGGCCTGCTGCTGAGGTCATTACTGGAAGCTCTCTCCGTCGAATCGGGTGGAAACATGATGAGTCCCCCTTCTCTTGACTGGGTTTCACCCCATCCCCGTCGCGTCGCTCCGAGATTGGCGGTGCCGACGCAGTACTTCGTGCGCGGAACCTTTGGAAATTCCCCATCAGTTCTTCCCCTCTGAAGAAAGCTCTCGAAGTTTGAACGAGAAGCCGTTACTAATGGCTGAGGATGAGTCAACTTGTTTTGACGGGTTTGGAGTCGAGCGTCCGCTGACAGCGCTGAATCAGAGCGAGGCCACTCAAAGTTCCATCGAAAAACTCGAGCGCCGAACCTAAACATCGATGATTTGATGCAGTCTCTCAGGAACTCCATGAAAAGATCATTCAAAACCTCCATCTTCGTAATTCCAGAGTATCATATTGAATTTCCGGGTATCCGAGCTGCAAGTTCTCCTGGGCTTCGCTGGCCGGAATAAGAGCGGAAAGAAGCAAGACCTGCAGCAAAGAGCACTCGAACTCCTTCGGGTGAGATCGACGCCTATCATTGTGAAGATCAAGGAGCTCCATAGACGCAGGTGAGTCAGTAATCAGATTAAGCTTGCTTAGAGAACGGCCGGGTCTTCAGAGATCCTTTTATTAAATTACTTCACATATTATATTATGTCCCCCGTCTGTTCCGATGATGCCTACAAAATGAGCCGCAGTATCCAAGTCAATATATTCGGATCGAGACGGCGGCAATGTGTTCTTCTATCCATTGGTCGCTCACCGCACGCGGCGAGCATTCGGATGAATTCTCGACCTCAGCGCTCATGAACTACTGCGTTTCAGCGCTGGCCGCTACGCGTCTGAGATGGATAATGTCATGGCGCGATCGAACACGCTAGGCATAACGCCCCACGGTGTGCTCGAATCGCCGCCTCCGTCGACCGGCTTGGGGACCATCCCACAGAGTCGGATCTGCGCAGTTCCTCCGATGAAGCGCGATGACCCTCCGACCTCGCAACAACAGAACGGCATGAGCTTCTTGCATAGACAGGGTGAGTTTTCGCGTACGATTTCGTATACGGATATCGAGGACTATACGGTCCCAGTACGTGGAAAGTGGGATCAGACCGAGTAGGAGTTGAAAATATTAGGAAACGTTTTTTCTTCTCGTTGACAATGAGGCTAACCTGATTTTCGCGGTCCGACAGGGAGTCTGGCTTCATCGTCGGATCCCCTCTTCCCAGTTCTAGGTGCCGGCATTTACAATTTCCCGCTGCCCCAGGTCCCGCTCGGTGGCAACTCACAACTACTGAACCAATATCCGATACATCCGGATGTAAAGTACGTTTCGTGGTAGGATGTCTCGCCCATATGAAGAGAGCGACTCAGCAATGGATTTGACGGCGATGCGTTTCCCTTACAGATTGAAGAGTCTACCGTTCTACGAGCAGATCGCCGAAATCCTGAAACCTACGTCGTTACAGCAGAATATTCCTCAGCCGCCCCAGCATCAGAATCAACAGACTCCAAGATGCAAGGAGGCAGAATTCGCTTTCCATATGACGCCCCATCAGGTGGGACTCAATGCCCTCTCGATGATACCACCGTGCTCCGAGATGACGAATTGCCCTCGATCCTACGATTCTGTACACTGAGCAATTATTATCGATTCCAGGTACACGTCTTGTTGATGTCGAAAGACTACAAACCAGGCGAAGCAGCCGTTCAACTCCAGCTTCGTTTCTGCGCGCTCGATTCAACTGTGCCTCAGGATGATGCTTTCCCCCCCGGACTCAATGTGAAGGTCAACAATAGGATCTTGACCCTCCCTAACGCTATTCCGACGAATAAACCCGGCGTAGAACCGAAACGGCCCCCCAAGCCATTGAACATCACAACCCTTTGTCACACGAACACAAATCTTCCAAACAAACTCCACGTTACTTGGAATCACGAATACGGAAAGGTGAGTCAAGGATCCGACTCGATTCGGTTCGGAACTCGAAGTTGATGTGCCTCTTCGATAACGGTGAAAACTTCTCTAGGCTTTCGTTTGCGCCGTCTACCTCGTCCAAAGACACAACGCCAACGCCCTTCTGGAAAAGCTGAAGAAACGGGTAAGTACCAGGAGGGAATTGTCTTCCGCGGAGCATGGGAGTCTCCACATTCATGAGCCAGAGCTTGACCGATCCCCTCTTCCTCTCTGCAGGGGAAATTACCGGCGGAAACAACGAAAACAATGATCAAGAAGAAGCTTTCGTCAGACGCCGATGATGATTTGTGTCTAACGTCGATACGGGTGACGCTGGTCTGTCCCTTGGGACAGTGTCGTGTGAGTATATATCGACTCCTGTATCCCCTGGGAAGCCTAGGATCTCGTGCGCTGGGAGGACCGGTCGAGAGGCTCGTTGGAGCTCAAGTCGAATCCGTGTCTTACAGGTCCAAATTCCTTGTCGTCCCGCCGGTTGCTCGCACATCAATTGTTTCGATGCCTCATTCTACCTCATGATGAATGAGAAAAAACCGACCTGGATTTGCGCAGTGTGTGATAAGAATATCTTGTTTGAGGATCTATATCTCGATGCGTACATGGAAGAGGTTTGTTAGCTGTAGAGCACCGCTATCCAAATTGATATCCAGGACTCTCAGGACCCGTATTACGGAGCTCTCCGAGTGTATTTCTCAAGCGTCGAGATGTTGCTCAATGATCCTCATTCGTCAGGTCTGCCGCAATGCACCGCCTGACTGCCGCGAGGTGGAATTCACCGAGGACGGCAGTTGGGTACCCGTGATGGAGGAGAAGGAGGATTCTAAGAAGCGGAAGCGACAAGCGAGCGACTCGGATGATTCGGATGCTGAGAGAGAAGCCCGCAAGAAAGATCAGAAGAAAGAAAAAGAGGTCAGTGGGCGTCCGATATCCAGGGTGCCGTCGATGTTGCTTCGCCCTCCGATACTGGGGAGATGCACTCATCGCGCCATATTGTGACTGGATCGCGAGCTCGGTGCTCATTCGGAGATAGAAGTCCTCCAATGTCGTTGTCTCATTGGATTTTCTCTGTATCAGGTGATGATCGACTTGACGGAATGTACCGACGAAGAAGACAACGTGCCCCCTCCTCCAGTCATTTCGAGAGCGGCATCGGCGACAGCGACAGCTAGCAATGGTCAGAGAGCGCCACACGCGTCGTCGAGTAGCACGGGAAGTTCTAGCAGTAGTCAGCTGCATTCACGGCAAGCGTATTCGACGAATTTGATAGGACAGCAGCACCAGCATCACTCGCAACACCAACAGCAACATACACAGCACCAGCTACAGCAACAACAACAGCATCATCAACATCAACAGCAAAGTAGCTCAACATCGTCGGCTTCGCAAGGAAGCGCGGGGTCATCGAGTGCGAGCTCAAGAAATTTGGCCCAGAATCTTTCAACGACATCGAGGGCATGGCCGAGCACCTACTCTGCAGCTGTTGCCGCGGCTTCTAGCGCAGCTAATAGTGAGTCTGAAAGTCATAAGTATTTTACCAGGTCGAAGAAACGAAGAAAAAATTTGTGAGGGAGGAATCACAGCGAGAGTGTTTAGCTCAGGATCCGGTAGATGGACATAAAGCCGATGTTTTACGCCAGATAATGCCACGCTTATTCAACGTTTGTTGAAGACGGAATCTCGGCGTCCAAGAGTTCGAGCTCCGCGGCAATCGGAGACCGGAAGTTACAATCCTATGTGTACTAGAGCTTGTTGTCGATGAAACCCTAGATCTTCAGTGAACATCATGGGATCCATCAGTTCCTTGCTCTGAGAAGACGCAAAATCTGTATCAAGGGGCATTCTGTAAACTAGCGGCTGTCACTGAGAGAGTCTCATGGAAACTATCTTTCCCCCCCGTAATTTCCCGGGGGTAGAGGATCGTCGGCTCCTCCAGGGAAGATATTGATCACACATGGGACTTCCTTGCCGCGCGTGGCCGAGATACCGAGAGCCAGCCTTCGTCCGACGCATGGATTTTTTCCATGATCGCAATAGCGGGAGTCGAGAATCCGATTTGAGGCACCGTTCATGACTCATTGTGGACCTTTCGTTCCGCCCAAGCCCCCATGTGGATGGAACTCCCCAGATATGGGCCCTGAAACGGAAGCTCATCGATTTATGTCTCGGAGACGAGGCTCAAAGGTGGTCAGAACATGCGCTGATGAATTCAGGCGAAAGCTATGCTCCCTGATCCCAGGTGCCTCTGAATAGTGCACCGCGGACTCTCATTCTCTACAGGAATTCCTTTCAAAAATGTATTCATGGGAGCTGTTCTGAATCAATTATGGGTTTCTGACTCAACAGGAGTCATTGGCGAAACTTCTCCTCCTCGCTGGAGAAGGCCGGGGAGATTCTTACCTTGACTGAAACCCCATCCGGATATTCTTCATCATTTTGGCGTAGAACCACGCTTTGTCCCCCGACAGACGGAGGAGCAAGGGCATGCATCGCGAAAAATCGATCACAAACCTTCTCGTGACTATGCCCAGAAATCGGGCATTCCTCGAGCAGGAGAGCAGTGTTCGAATATGCATCAGACTCAGCGGGGCATGGCGAGAAGCTTATCCTGAGCTCAATTAGGCGATCCCCTAAGAAGGAAGAGGTCATGATGCGGTAGGCGCCGCCATTAAGAGACAAGAGAACAGTCCTTCATTCTAGAGACCGTCTAACCTCAACGGATCCGAAATTAAATGCTCTCCATGAAAGAGACCCTCGCCCACAATGTAATTTCCCTGCTGTTCCCGAGGAGTCTCTTTTGAGCGGCTTCGACTGTATAGCCTCCGGCTCATGACACTCGGAAACTACGCTCCCTAGAACGAAGATCATGATGGCGAGCAGCTCGCAGCTCGGTCGGCACAATCAGCCAAGACAATCGTGTCTCAATTCTGTGGGCCAGGCGACAGGCAGTGGAATGGGTTCCGAGGAAAATAAGCTGCTCCGTAGCCTATCGATCAGCGAGGATGTTCCCATTCTGCTTGCGGACAACCGTTGGTCACAACAAGCGGATCGATTTTCGACCATTCCGGTAAAGGATCTTCAAGGATCGCGGTTTCGATCTTTTTTCAATGAGTCCTCACTCGATGTGGGATCTAAATATGCTACGATGGACACCGGAATCGATGACTCATTGATCATGCTATGAAGTGAGCGTTGAAATCCGAACTAGCGCTCCTTACGCATTGGGCGCAAGTTCCGAAGGAGTTCTATGACTCTAGATGAGGTCGTCCGCGTGGAAAGCTGAGCCAAGCTCTCATGGGTACGACTTTCATGCTGGGTGCCCGGTATAGCTCGTCGAGAAACATAATAAGGGAAAACACGCACTCCTACGTTAAGGGCCCGTGTGATTCGCAGACTTGGTCAACTAGCCCCGTACTTTGTGAGAGCTTGTCCTCGTAGTGAGTCGACAACATGAACTCCTGGAGGAGTAACCCGAGTACGCCAAGGAATCGTAGCTTCTGATCAGCAGATGTTGTCTGTAACTCTGACAGAAGCGTAGGGTGTACCATCTACAAACTGACTGATTGTATTCGTTTGCAGATTCCGGATACTACGGATCGGGATTTCCCGCGGAATACTTTAACCATTCGGGGGTCGGTGCCAATACTTCTTCCTCATCCGTCCCGCAGAACATATACAACCCGCATCCGACGTCTTACGCATGTGAGCAACCTCTATCACGTACGAGCTCATCATTTAATTGCATATTCTTGGATATCGAGACCGATGCGGGGAGGGGAAAAACGTCATATACATAGTTGATAAGAAACCCACAAAGCCCGAACGGATGACTAATTCGACGATCCGTTTACAGCCTATGACATATTCCAATTGCTTGTGGAAGATCGCAACCAAATGCAGCCTCGGCAGAACCCATCAGGAAGTGGGGGTCCTAGGAACGTTATCAACTTGGACTGACATCGTCATTCCACGAAATCGAACGTTCAAGCGGAACTCCGTAGCTACAATGTCGTTCCGAAAACTTCTCCGAGCCTGCCAGTGAAATCAAGGTTAAGAGGAACAATGGCGGAGATCGCAACACCATCGCCCTCCCTTGAACCTTCGTTTACTTTCGGAAGCGGAACACTTGCGTCTGACAGCAGTCATATCAACCCATCAAAATATCCTGACGCCACCCCCATAGCGAGAAGAAAAATAGAGCGACGCTCGATCGGCGTCGAGTCGACTTTCCACTTGCCAAGCCCGACTCTCGTCCCGCCGACAGATTCACATGCGCCTACGGGCTATACGAGCACGCACAGAACGTTGTCTCTTGATGAGGAGTCCGATTTCTTGCGCCAGCGACAGCTGCAGAAGTACGCGCGGGAGCGAGTCCGGAGCAGTGAACTCTTAGCGAAAACGATGGGGCACGAGGAGGACGGCCCTTGTTTCAAGTCAAATCTCCAGCAGTATCTGACACAACGACCGAATAGTGAGACGTCGACGTCTTCGGATCGAAATGAGTTGTTGCTTCCCTTTTCCGAGTTGTATTCTCGTCAACAGCATCAGAACCAGGATCCTCCGGATCAATATCAAGTCGAACGGCTCCGCTCGGAGCGTATGCATCAGCGACGGCTGCGAGACCTCCATCAGGAGGAACAACGAGCTGCCGAGCCACAGCGGTCCGAAGCGCATCGGCTGAGCCCTCCGCGGAATTTCACCGAACAACAAGCACAGCAGCACCTTTTTCAAGAGCTGCACGAACGTCGGATACGGCATCAGGGAGAAGTAGCCGTCCAAGAGCAACGACTGCATCATGGATGCAAGCTCCAACAGCCATCGCTGCGGAAGCCGCTGTTCGATCAGGATACTCGATTCGTCCAGGACCGCCAAAGAGCAGAGCAACCCGGGCGCCCACAGAAACATTGATTCGATTTGGGCCGGATAGGGCTAAGGATGGATCGCTGTCGACGAATTCTATATCCGGTTTTCTCTATTTTTCGAGTGTCGATCGATAGTGAAGGTCGCTCAATAGAGAACTCTGAGGCGAAGCGATCCCCTCCATCCTGATTTCCATGATGATGGCGACCAGAACCTCAATTTTTGGGGAAACCGGTTGCGTTGCCTTTCCGGAAAGGTCGTCTGCCGTCCCGGGCACGCAGATTCACGACAACCCTTTAGTTTCTTGGGATACGCTTCGTCAACTAGTAACCTGACGGGCGGATGTTGTGTCTGATGGCTGATGTGAAACGATACATACTATATACATCATACCATCCTGAATTTCTCGAGGCAGGCGATAAGTTGCCCACGCGTCCAAGTCGGTCGAGCTCACTGTAGACTTTCTGCGTCCATCAGCGGACCTCGCCAGTGACGGGAGGAAGCTGGCGGCACCCGTATCTGATGGAATTTCCGAATAGAGAGAAAACCATATTTTCTTTGTAAAAAGTTCGGGTTGTGGCGAGCCCACGACTCAAGTGAATAGCGACGGCACTCATAGCGTAATTTTGTATATATGATCGACGTCGGTCCGACGCGTGAGTGTGCCACTCGAATGCGCGAAACCTATCGGAGGAACCCGATTGACCGAATTAACTAAGGTCCACATCCGAAGAATCGTGAAATGAGCGTCGTTGTCTTGGTGGTTGGCAGACGGCTGGTTTCTTGTTCGATGGTGAGTGATTGTTTGAATCTCTCCAGGATTTCCGAGGCGGTTTTGCTGAGGGGGAGACAATGTAGGAGGTATAGAAAATCTATGAAATATAGTTAGTGCACGTAAACGAACAATGAGTTGAAGGCAGGGACAAAGCTCAATGCAACTCTGGATGAAATTGAAATGAAGAGTTGCCAGCTCCCTCAATGGATGAGTTCCTCGGTTCATATGGTTTGGAAGTGTAAATAATCATGAAATAAAGGCGACGTGAGAGTGAAAGATGAGTCTCATCCCTGTAGGAACCGTGAGTCACGAGAGGTATTCACATTGAGATCACGGGAGCCTCACTGAGTAAGCCGAAGAGGTTAGCAGACGGAGAGTCGGCTCGGTGCAGTTTTCGTTGTCTTCCCATCCCCCCATATATAAAACGCTAAGTCTGTGTGTCACTCTGTCTGTCTGTAGACAAAAATCCTCACCGATTCCGACCAAAACGTCTGTGAAGCACGGACACCCCCTCCCATTGCTTGAAAGCACATCACCAGCTCGAACCTCAGTTCGACACAGAAGTTATGCATCTATTCAAGAGGATCTACTTGATGATCTGGAAATTCCGCCCGATCTGCCGCCGCTGCCGTGACGCGGTCGCCCCTTGCGCTCGCGCTAATGCGACGGAGTTCCGTTCTGCCTGCGTTCGTTTTCTGCGCTATAGTAAATTTTCCATTCCTAGCATTCCGGGAATATTCCGAAGAGTGAATTTTCCATTTCTAGCATTCCGGAAATATTCCAATTTTACGGAGATATTCATAGGGGCTCATGGCCCATCCCGTCCGGAGTATCAGTTCGAACCCGATAATCCCTATGGAAATGACGGACAATTTTAATTTGCGCTCCGTCTCCTTTGCCGCCGCGGCGGCGCGGCCGTTTCCGTTGTGAGGCGCCAATGCGAATCTACGCAGCAAGATGGACTCGAGTTCAAGATTTGCTCGATCGATTGTTTGCTCATCTTGGGGGTTCAATTGACTGTTCGGAATAGCGTTCAAGACTTTTCCGGTTGTATAGTGATATCATCAGGATTATCTATGGCGGATTTTCATGACGAAGATTACGAGCCGACGAATTTTAGAAACCGTCAGAAGGTGGTCAGTGCCAAAGCCCAACAACAAATCATTTTTCTCATGGAATTGATCGCATCGCGACAAACCGCCGCAATTCCTGATGGTGGATTTGCCGCTGCCTTCAACCTACGAATTCTCACCCGGGCCATGAGCTCGGGATTCCCGTTTGAGCCCACAATAAGGAGCGCGGCCGAAGGCCGCGTTCCCCAGGGCTGGTTGCCAATAAGCTCGGCGCCCCCTGTCTGACGGGCGTGGTGGCCTTGCTCTCCAAAATTTTGCTGGGAGATAATTTCCGGGAACAGATCTTTCATTGGTTCATCGCTCTCCGTACGAATTGAGTAAGATGAGTAGCTCCAACCCTGAGCTAATAATCACCGTCTGTGAGACTTGAAATCTCTCTCGAGTAGCTTCGCCCTGCGCAAGGCCCACACTCAAGGAGTCGCACATCTGCGACTCGTACTCCTCCAACCGTCGATTTCTTCAAGCACGCCAAGCTGAGACGACGCGACGTAGTCCGCGATGCAGTGGCGTAAGTTGGCGTTCTCTCTCCGGGGCTTCAACATGACGAGGCAGGGGCGGCTTGCCCCTCTCTCCGTGTTCAACTGCCATACTGTCTTGTTTTTTTCACTTGGTTTATTTTGTGCCATATTTAGTGGGCGGGCAGATTATCGAGGGAAGCGACCCCACTCGCGAGCGAGCTCTACTCCGTGCGATGGGACGAACCGTGGAAATTCTTGAACGACGGTGGAACTCTCACTTTTGTCACGCTCGCGTTGGATTAAGCAGTTTACTGCGACCATTCCACGATGACCGATGGATAGGGAGCTCGATAGTTCGAAAGGAGGACCCCGGGCAAAATGCCTCGAATCGACGTCATCCTTCCAAGGGTACCCTGGAGAGGGCTCTTATCCGAGCTTGGAGAGTGCGGCATCATTACAAATGACTAACGTTCAGACGAAGGGGGGTTCCAGCAGCTGACGTTCGTCAAGAGCATTCTTGGTCACATGGTGCTCGATGGAATAGCTGAATGGGCTGATCCACCACCACAGTGGGAGCCGAAGAGGAAATTCATAGATTCCTTATATCCCATGGAAGGATGCAAATCCCCCGCGGCAGAACATCACTGAAGTAGTAGCTCATCGCGATGGAGAATCTTGATAAACCTGAAGCACCGCAGCCCTACCCCCTCGAGATCACAGGATCACGCGAAGCTTGCATCCGGACCGCGGTAAGACGACGCTCCTGAAAACGTCGCGAGTTCGTCTTCTGTGACGAATCCTCATACGGCCGTGTTTCCGAGCGCTCGGTTCCAGTGATAAGAAAATCGCACGAACCTCTCCCGCTAACTCGCCCTTGATTGCGCTGGACTTCCAATGCCGATTCCCTCCCCTAGGTACTGCCGGGTTGAGGTTCAACTTGGGTGCTAGAGATATATTTCCATTGGCATCGAAATACCTCTGGTCAATAAGAATACGGGGAAGCGCGAACCAGAGTTCCGAATCTGAACGACGCGCGACGGTACAAAAAGCAAGAGCCGAAGTTTTCTAGACCCTAAAGAATTGGATACGAATATTCTAAATGTGGAGCGGAATCGCGGCACCCGGTTGGGGGAAGACAACTTACAAATCACAACAGCGTGTGAAGGCAAGAAAACTAGAAATCCGATCATGAGGGTAGTTCCTCCGCGAGGATTGGGCAGTGATGATCTGCCTCATACTTATTACCACGAGAACCGAAGCTGGATTTGGATTCACCCGAGTCCCGGAGCTGGATTCGGATTAATCCGAGCCCTCCGTGCAATCCCACTCTTCCAAGACTTGATTGGAGCTCGGAGCAGTCGAGCTCACCTATTTCCTCATGATTCCGCGGGTACCTCAGATCTGGACAGCGTTCACGGAGAACCTAGTCCTTTGTGTGGAAGAGCATCGGTACTCGAATTTGACTCGATGAATATCATTGTGAGCGAGGGGAGAACCTTGGGAGATCAAATGGTATTGACCAGGATCTCCTCGACGGTTCGGAGCCAAATTGAAGCAGCCAGTCCCGTACACAGTCCATTGGGAAAGAAGCTCCGGGTAACTCTTGAACAACCAAACCGAGGAGAATGTATTTTACGACATAAAAGAGACATCTTCTTTATTACTTTTCGTTTGCTGAATTCGATGATCACGGCGTGTCCCCAGTTCGCAAGCAGGCTCCTAGATGCGGAGTCTAGGAAAGGACATTTGGGCTCCACGATACTTTTTTGCTGGGCGTCGAAGAGAAGGCCCGGAATGATTCGGCTGAGCTAGCTCGTTCCATACAGGTTATCGTACAACATGGTTTTCTGAAGCGCGTTCGATGTGGGGTTGCCTCCAAGGTTCAAGTGGTAGGTGATCGGATTGAATGACGAGTTGATGGACGAGGTCATCGAACTTATCGACGATAACGGCGAGGTGGAGAGGTTGCTGCTGCTGCTATTATTGTTCGTACTGCTACTGTTGTTATTATTACTGGAATGTGTATTCGTGCTAGTGCCATTTTGTTGATTCGCAGAATTGATCACATTGTGGTGATGGTGATGATGATGATGGTGATGATGGTGCAGATGAGGGTTGATCGTATTCAGCAGATTGGTTGGATGAATGGGGTTTGGAGGCGATGAGAAATTTATCGGAGATCCTGCGACCGGTGGCGAGGACTGCTTCGCTTCCCTGTAATTCGGCGAAATTTCATTGATTTATGATTTTCTCTCCCTATTCTGTCCCACTGACGCTGATTGGGAATCTTAGACCGCGGCGTTCCGAAACTCGCATTCTCGATTGCAATGCTGGACAGTGCTGGCGGTCGGAATAAGGGTCCCCCGACGGGTACTATGATGGTTCTCTAGCTCCGGGGCAAGATCCAGTTCAGCTCCTCGATCCAAGGCAGATCGCATCTGAGGATTCATTGATGGGCCTATCTAAAATGGCAGGATATTCACACGAGACCTTCCCCATCGTCGAGATTCCAAGCTCAAGGTAATGGATGATGATTCCGCCGAGCCCTCGAGCACCATTCCGAGATGATGCTTCGAACTGAACAATTACCGTCCGAGAAGCTCATTCTCCCTTTCAGATCGTTCAGACCTTCGTAATCGCGAGTTTTCTTCGTCTGCTACCTCCCCCCTTAGAGGGATTACTCATTTGGGTGGAGAGACAAAGAATTCTCAATATGTAATTGAATCTAACGTCGAGCTGTCCAGACTTCTGGAAACCTCTTTTTGCCGGGCATAGCGCGGACACCATCACTCTCGGTGAGGCTGGCATTATTTGTAGTATACTTTCATAGTTATCTCATGAGGGAAACATCGGATAGCGTCTTTCTTACGTGCTGAGAATGGTAATCTAGTGATGGGGCGCACTCAACTTAATTGAAGCCGAGGTTGCTAGCGGGCGCCACGGGGACCGAGGAGGCCAACGAGTGCCTAGAAGATGTCATGAGAGGAGCAAAGTAGAGTGAGGAAGGCAGTCGGTTGGGGCGAGCGAGGACTTCCTCTTTCTTCGTTCTGACATTTGATACGCCTTCATTGGCTTCTTTCGTTTGGCTCTCTCATTTTCCCTCTGTTTCGAGTCTTCCCCCACGTTGAGGCAGGCTTCGGCGTCGTTATCGTCGGTAGGGTGCCAGCCGCCGTCCTCGTTTTCTCTCGCCGTCTCCCCGTCGTCGTCTTCGTTGTCTCTCTGGAGCTGGTGCCGTCAACTCCGGTCTGCAATCCGATCCCTCGGCGACGTTCCTCCCTCGAGCGGAAGGCGAAAAAAGAACTCTCGGATTACACGCGTCGGATCGAGCAACCGGCAGTGCGGGCAGACGAACGGAGGAAAAGCGAATAGACGGCAACAGTCGAAAGAAAAAAAACAAAAAATATATTTGCCTCGGCTGTGGTATAACTTAGCCAGGCTTTTCCGATTCAGGATTCCGTCGGAGACTTTCCGTCATTCGACCGTGCGCATGTCAGCGAACTCGGACGGGAGCATTGCGGTCGCGCTGGAGCATCTCCATGTTTCTGTTTGGAGCTGTCGACTTCCAGCGGAATACGAATAAAGCAAGGTCCGAGCGAACTGGTGACGAATGACGAATGATAACAATCGGCAACGGGCAAAGAACTGCCCGCTAGATTCTTACGAAAGGACATCACCATTCGGAGCACCATGAGCTCTGCAACAGTTTTTTTTCTCATCTTCGGATCGCTCCGATTCTTCGCAGGGGTACTCCACCACAGGACGGGGACAAGCGTGAACTCATGGCGCGTTCGAGTGCATTCCTCAGAAGTTTGTCACGCGAGGTCGTCAGATCCCCAATAGTCCCACTTTCCGGGGAAGCGATACCGAGAAGCTCGAGAAATCAGAGAAGTACCACCTCCGGGGCCTTGCGACTCACCACGCGCAATTGACTCTCTCGGGTATCCCAATTACTCACCGAACGAGAGTCTAGAGCATCGGAACGGCTTTCAATCGAGCTCTTGAACGAGTTCAAGTGCGCTCTTGTAACAAGTGCTCGGATCTTAAAATGCGGCTCGAACCGAGGAAATCCACCGCACAGTGCGAGAGGATTTCTCGCTGTCTCCATGATTCAATCCACTGGCTGAGGAGCGGCCGCATCAGTACTAAATTGTGCGTGTCAGCCTCTCTATCTCTATCCGACAATCGGGTCCGTGGGCTCAAGCCCACACTTCGGAAACGCGATACCTCGACCCGAGCTTGATTTCGCTGACTGACTGAGTCATGAAATCGACCAAAGGACACGCACCGCACTGCGAAGAGCTTGTTTGGATAGCAAATTAGGATTTTTATACCGACTGGTGGGCTGGCAAGGCAAATTATCTCCGCGGGGGCTTAAGTCAAGCCGAGCAAAGTCACAGGTGGTGGTGATCGCGGTTCCGACGGAGACGAACGGCACGATTTGGGAGGGAGGAGCGAGAAGAAAAAATCTCCAGACGAGCCCGGGTGTCAACTGCGAGAGAAAACAAATGTGCTTGTCCTTTTCCTCCCTATCGACTCCGTTCAGTTTATGATTGATTCTTTCCTAAGCGAGCGGAGTCACACGACTCGCTTAGGGAAGCGAGTACGAACGCTTACGAAAGAAGATCATCGAGCATATGGTCAACGGTGGTTTCGAGAGCAGCGATCGGAGCTCCCGTTGTTGACTCAAGACGCCTTGTCACCGAAATCATTCGGAGAGCGTGTTCGAAAGATCAACAGAGTCATCGACACGAATCTTTCCCCTCCGGCCGTGATACGACGGCGACTCTCTACGCCGAATTCCAGGCTTTTCTGTTGGCTTTCCCGATGATCCATATGAAATATTTCCGATTCCACATGGGCTCTACGGAGCAGCCGCTCTCCGACTGTAGTTCCTAGTCGAAGAAGATGCGTCGCTATTCAGAGGACCGGTTTCGAACTCAACTTTTGAAACGGTCGAAAAACCCGAATGCATGCCTCAAGAGACCGAGCGCTCATCGCTGTTGTGTCATTATTGCAACAGCCGCAACAATGGCCCTGACAGCAGAAATAGTGACAGAGGAACGAAGACAGCCCGTGACAGACAGAGTCCGTGGACCAGAGTCGCACAAACTGCAAGCACTGTCAACAACGACGACAACAACAACAATAATCTTTGAGATAACATGTCGTCATTCAGTCGGAGAATTCAATCCGGAGAGAGAGAGCGGGGTTTGTGAGCCTTTTGTTGGGTTGAGATTGCAGGGAGCGCTGTGAGTTCATTTCGAAGGGCTAGGAGTTCTTCATTTGAATGCGGATATCTTCATCTAGGCCCAATCTACAGTCTCGCCCCCTCGTTTCAACAACTCTGGTTCTGCTACAATCCGCTATGGGCCATGCCATTGTGCTGTAGTTTTGTTGTCGATGATCGTCGACGACGGCGAAGACGAGGACGACCACGACAAGAACCAGACTGGATGATCGTCGGAGAGAGCGTGTCGCTTGCTCAGTCATCTCTCCAAGAGCCTTTTAACACCGATTGCTCTTTCACACTTCCACTCGAACGGGATCGCTCCTCTCTTCAAGCCCAGTTGGATCTAGCGCTTCCCGAACGGTGCGGGGAGTCGCGATCTCGAAAGAAAGCCGACTAGAAAACTCCACATCGACAAACCACGCCATGACTTCGCGGCCAGGCGAATGATTTCGTCCTGGATGCTCAGGAGTCGACTTGAGAAATTCTTTCCGCTCCAGGGGAAGGGGGTGCAATAAGACCTCTATGGCACGAATGACGTGACGGAAGAAGGAAAGATGGATTTAAAAAGCCCGGCGGCGATGGGAGTCCAGAAAATGTACCAATAAAGATGTTTCCATGGCTGTGCTTCGCGTTGATCCAGCATGAAACTCTGGCAGCGGTGAAGGCGGTGGCGGCGGCGGCGGTTACGGTGTCCGTTTTCATGAAATTCGAAACCTTCGAGGAGCAGCGTCCCGAGCAGCCTACCCACCAACTCCATCTAACAGAGCAGCAGCAGCAGCATCATAGAAGCAAAGTCCGCGAGAGAATGTAGAGATAGAAGAAAAGAGGGACGCCGAGCTGTACGGATGCATGCTTGCCAGCTAGCCAGCCAACCAGTCAGCGAACTGGCATTCTGAGCAAGCAGACTCCAGGAGAAACAAACTGCCAGCGCGCCGGTGGCCATTCGGAAAGCTTTTCGTTGATGTCCCTTGCTATGGATCCTGGGTCGCCCTGCTGACAACCCCGCATGCAGGTCATTCGACGTTCTCGATAATTTCTCCGAAAGAGATGAGAAAGCACACTTTTTAAGTGAAGTGGAAACGCCCGCGAATCACTTTTCCCCGTGTCCCAATTTCTCCAGAGCTGCGCACGACTTGGGCGGGCGAACGCAGCGAGCGCCCGACTGACTGAGACCAGGTAGACTGGATGATGAGTAGTGACAAAGGGCTTCCTTCTAGTTCAACGAGCAAGCTGAATGGACCGACATCACCACAGTCAACGGCCCTCATCAAGTCAAACGCGATGACATGTGACAATAAACTCGAAGATGGATCCCCACCAAACATCTCAATCCTCACGGTCCCCCATCCCTTCAATCGAAGAGGAGTTTTGTTCTGAGCAGGGATGAGTGGGTCCGTTTAAAGCAGGACAGCCGCAGTCACTACGCGGATCGTTTTCTCTGACTGAGTATTTGAAGAAATGCCCAAAATAGAATTGGAACTCGTCTGCACGAGGCAGGCTTCGATGAAGTTTAGCTGTAAATTTTCGGATCGTGAACAGCGATAGCTTACCCTGGAGGTCGATCCCGTTGTCTGCGGTTCTTGAACCAATTCGAAATTTGCGTCAGGGAGAGCCCGGTCTTCTCCGACAGCGTCCGTTTGTCATCTGGCGATGGATATCTGCAAAGTCTTTGTCTTGAGTGCAAGGACTCGAGAACCGCCAATCGTTCCCATCGACGTCCAGAGTTTCTGGCGGCCGAGCCCACGCCTCGTGGAAATATCCTCTGTCGATAACTTACGCGTTCAGTTTGTACGACTCTTTCAGTGCTTGCCGAGAACGTTCCTTGAAGCAGTATATCGTATCCTCGCCATCCCAGATGGTCTTCGGCAGGGGGAACTTTCGTCGTATCCGATATTTGTCAACGGCACCGAGCTTCCTCCCTCGAGACTTCGCGGCCTCACTATACCAGAGAAAATGTTTCGATTCTAAACGGTTGCATGAACGATAAACTAATTGGCCTCTGCCATCTCCTCGGTCGATCGATTATCAGGTCTGAACACGATAACGCCACGCCAGCCATTGACGGCGCATTCTTCAGCGCCTGATCGAGTGGGGCGCTGCCGACTTCGGTTTCAAGAACTCACTTGTAATGAGCGGTGAACCACATGAACTGGAGCTCATCGTGATGAGTCGGTCCGAACGCGTGACTTTCGAGTATAGAATACATTTCTTTGTAACTTTCTCTGAAAATTGAATTGGTATTTGGAAGGAGAGAAGGCGTCTAATTGGGGACGGTATACCAAGGAAAAAACAGCGTTCCCGCCATGGAATCGCGGCTCGGAGTCTCCGCTCATCCGCAGGAAGCGACAAACTTATGCGGCTCGGGAGGCGGGCAAACAGTGGGGGTTGCCCTCTCGCTTCACCGGTGCGATTCATTTTTGCCTTCGTCAAAACCGAGATTCTCAGAAAGCTCACTAAACGATTGAAACAAGTTAGACGATGATCAAATCGACGACTGCAAGTCGTATCTCGCGTGGCATCCACGTCACATCCAACGAAACCTGGGAGCGCCAACTATTAAAGACGAGGAGACAAAGCGGTCAGATTGAAGCAAATTTCTGTCGGATGCTATCTGTCGATCTAGTCTCGGGCCGTGTCTCGACGATCACAGATAGAGAGCCACCGCAGACAGCACTGCATCCGGCAGGGGGGCAAATGAGCCGAAAGTTTTTCGCTCATTGCGATCGTATCGATGAAGCTGCCCTAAATCCTCTTTCCGAGACCAGTCTTGAAATGACTGCCCGATCAGGATCGCTCGATCGCGTTAATGTAGATCGGAGCATCAGTTCTGATTTTTGCTCCAATGGAGACAGAGATCGATTCGTCAGAGACGGCACTCTCGAATTCTCGCGACGATAGATGCGTCATCCTTCAGAAAGATCGAGCATCTTCAAATATCGTAACTTGAGAAAGCTTCTGACTCCAGGCGGATATTCTATTCGGAGACTCCCCGTCAAGTCTATAAACTCGCCCTATCACGAGAGGGACAGAAGAGAACTACAGACAACGAAAACTGAGTCGAAGGAACCGATATATCTAGCCCTATATTAGGTTTATTACTAACTTCTTGAAAGCAACGATTGCTTTGGCCCTGAGCACTGCTTCGCAGTATTGAAATTCTTCGGTTTTTGGGAGAGACCTGGAAGTGAGGAGAAGATGACAGACCTGGAATACTGCTCCCAGCGTGCCCGAATCAGGACACATCCATTGAAGCATCTTCAGAGAGGCAATCAAAATCTCACCACAGGAAACTTTCTAAACGATTTGTGTCTCCTGACTGTTGTAGTACTTCACAGACGCATGCTACCTGCGGAGGTGATCGGAATCCGGATAGTAGAGGTCTATATCCCGACGAATTCCGTATTCTGAGACCGAATGCCTACATATGTATGTGCGAGAACTAGGGTCTCACCTGTTCGAGTGAAAAAGACATTTTTTTCCGTACTGAAGGCGGAGTAGGGCAGCTGGTGGGATGGTTGTTTCTGGTCGTGTCGAAACAGCCGTGGAGAATTTGCGATTGACCGAAGGTGTGCTGGAAATAGCAAACTGCCCTTCAGTCGTATTCAGAGTGCTGCGGGGAACACGAGGAGGTACGGTTTGCTCTCTCTGCGAAGTATCCGATATCTTTCGGTTGACTTTCGGTCGCGAGCTCCCGGATGCGTGCGAGTCCTCAGTCTCGTCCCTTTGCATCTCCTCGGAAAAGAAAGAAGCTTCCATCGAGCGCGAACTCCGACTCGATCATTCCTCTATTTTGTCTCGGAGTTCAAGTTCCCCGAACTCCGGATTTCCATCTGTTGGAGACGCGTATTTTCCAGAGACTCTCGACCGGCGCCGGGCGCACGACTCGATTTGAGATCTGGAAGTCTCTCGATCTTGACTCAATCCTGAACATTTTTTCCGGGTGAATCCCGATGCTTCCTAAACAAGATGAGGGATTCGAGAGCATTCGTTCGTCCGAGTCAGAGAGTCCGGTCTAGTGAGAGTTTGCGAAGTCCCTCCACGGAATGATGTTGCTTATCGCCACTACGGAGATATGGAGAGCTGATCGTGGAAGAACAATTGAGGGGAGTCAGGGCCACTTCGCGAGGGATCCAGCGAGAGTGTATACCAACTCTCTCGCGGCGTGCGAATCTTGCGGGTGGAATTTCTTTCTCCCGCCCTCCATCGGAACCATGCGATGGCGATCATCCCCTTGGCAAAGTTCGTCGAGGCTCATGACCGCCACAAAGGTTGAACATGAGGATACAGATTGAGGAGTCGATGCTCTTAATAGAGCCAGATCGCGGCAAACGATCAAGGCCATGGAAAGTCGCGTGCACCGCTTTGTCATTGCTGTTGAGAGATGATCATCCCACCATAGGTATCATCTGCGGTCGGATGGAATTTCAGCCGAGCGAGATCCATGCGAGTAACAGCCGGAAACCGCGGAATGGGAAAATGCTCGGCATTCGGCCTCGCACGAAAACGCTATTCGAGCATTCCGCTGGCTCATGCAAAGGTCGTCAGGCGGCCGTCGGGGCATTCGTCAAAGCGATGGTCGTAATTGATACGGGACCTGATCGAGTCCTGATAATCAATGCGGAAGCCATGAAAACGCCATATGTCTCGCCTGTTCTCTGGTTTCTGACACTAGAGGGTCTGGAGAATCGACACTCGTTCACCTACTTGCTCGCTCCAGACCGTTTGGGCCTCCCCTGTAATCGTCACGGTCGATGTTGATGTTGTTATAACAACGAAAGCTTCTTCTTCTAAACTCGCGACGTAATCTATTCTCGAAGTTATCTGTGTCACTCTGTTCTACTCGGTCTTCTGATCTCTGACACCAAGGCTAACAGGTGACTTGTCGGGATCGTGAACCGAGCAAGAAGTAGCCAATGAGCATTCCCACGTAGAGTCGCAAAACGTTCTCGAAGCATGAATCTGAAGTACAAGCCTCTTCCCGAGCGTGAGTTCCCGTAACGCGAAGATCTGGATGAGGTCCTCCTCACGCGGAGTTTGGAAAGAAAAGCGAAGCTCGCATACCTCTGCGCGTAATGAGCTGGTATTCTGACATGGATATGGTATCCAGACTGACAAATTGATCCATGTACTTTTTCACGAAGCTTCATTCGATACGGGTCCCCAGAATCCCCATCAGGTCTCCGAAGGAGAAATATCCCGAAAATTTAGGTAGGTACTCTAGACTCATATGAGCCGTATAAGCGTATCAGCTGCGGTTTGTTTTGCCATTGTGGAGAAAGTCTGAAGAATGCCTCGACATCAAGAGAGGCCAACAAAGCGTTTCTTGGAACGCTCGCGCCATCTCCACCACGAACCCTGATAGGCCTTAACATATCTCAACCACTTTTTTTCTTCTTTCCAAGGCGAAAGGAAGCCGTTGCTATCTGCTGGCGCGTTTGGATTTTCCACGGCGATCTCAGACTCTCGGAACCCATTCTTAGCCACCGGACGGCAGCGTGTTGCTCGTTATCTCTCATCAGAGATCATGGGGATAAATGCGGTTTCGGAGACTTCGTATTAATTCCGGTAGGAATCGCGAATAGAGTCATCCCGACGTGTATGCGCAGTCGGTCGAGTCTATGTATAGGAAGCTTGGTGTTCGGCGAATGGTCCCTAATCTCTCACACATAATGCCGAGGCGTAACATACCGAATGCTTAATCTCTTGTTCCTCGCCGTCCGGGTCCTGAACTCTCCCCAGTGCTCCTCCCAAGTGCAGAGGGGGAAACTGCGAAGAGGCTTCGAGTTCGAAATAATCCGAGTGCCCGTGGCTGCAGCTGAAATATGGAGTTAGCTTTTGAATCAAGTCACGTGTCCGTACTAATCGCTTCACAATTGACCGACCGACAGCGCGTTGCGGAGCTTCCCCGCGAGAAGATTCGCCCGACCCTAGGTCGAGCAAGTTGGGTCGTTTTGCGAACTTTCAATTTTTTCTTCTCACTCACGACCGGGACGTCCATTCTTTTCAGGATTCGTCGCTCCGATGGAAGCGAGTAACGTCTCGACATTCTCCCCGAAAAATAATTTTCTGAATTCCGAGTCACGTACCAGCTATGCTGTATCTCGAGACCTCCAACATCGTTCGAAATGTACGACGACGCATAGATATCTGGGAATATACGAAATCTGGAGGCCCATGTGGCTAGCAACCACGCGCTCAGTCATGAGAGGAGCAGCTAGTCGAGCGTATTCCGAAAACACTCTGCCCCCTAGTAAGAAGGCATCTGTCGGGATTCCATCTCGGCGTCGACCCCAGACCCAAGTGCCCGTCTTCCTCGAAGCGTTTCCTCCACATCCCCTTCTGTCGCACTCGTGTGGGGAATCGATATTCCTTTCATAGAGTTGCTCTCGGAATCTCGGTCGGGTCGAAAGCCAGGAGCAGCAATCAAGACCAGCAGAATTCCGAGGAATTTTAACAAGTTCAGCGTCTCGAGGGAATGGGGCTCTCCCGGAGCCGTGGAGGGAAGTGGCAGATCACGAGTCGAAGAAATTCTCATCTAAGTGTTAAACGGAGCAGAATTTCGATTTTTGACGCATGGGGCTGATCTTAATCATAAGCAACATCCAATGGGTGTCCCCCCCGGTCGCGTTCCTTCACGACAGAGAGTGGAGTTAATCAGAAGTGAGAAAATTTCATCCATGGATTTCGCATGGAGTCTCGAATCGCCTAATTCGCTCCGACCTCGGATAAACAATGAGAAGAATCCCTCTCTCAACGTAGACTCGGAAATTTTCCGGCTATGGCCGGAGAAACATTCGATGGCATTCGTGAGAGGGAAGATGGCAACCATGGAATACGGGGCTCGGAGCGATCGGCTGCCAGGTCCTGACTCGTGACCTCACTCAAAGGGTGATTTGAATCTGACCGCATTCGCACACGATGAACTTTCGGAAAGCTTTCACTCATGCGACTTGAATATGCGTCGCTCTGGTATCAGAAGCGTCTAGAGTCGGACATCAGAGAAGAGTCTCGATTCGAACTGACCGAGGGATTCGAAAGTTGTTGAAGTCTCCTCTTTGAATGATATCCATCGATATCCCATTCAAGAAGACATCGCAGGTCGCCTTTCCTTCGCTCCTAAGCTTCAATCAGTGCTACCATCGGAATCTATTTGTCTAAGGCAGGGTTTTGTGCAGCTAGGTATTGACCCCAACGAGTCTTCCATTCATGAGCAAATACATCGAATCCTTTCGATTCTCCGATTGGCTGCTGTCTAGCAGAGACAGTTCAGATGGTTTGTCCCTATTAGTTTCCATCCGATAGAGAACAGGTTGTTGATAAGAGAAGAAACCAGATAGCATCGCTATTGTAAGGGAACACCGGCAACAAGCCGCACTTCATGGGACGCGGAGAGAGAGAAAGCGATTGAGCGGGTGTGTTGGTGAGCGAGCCGGAGGGAATTTGTCTGATAAGCATCTTGAGTGCGCGTGTGTATTATTGTCATTATTCCTATTATTATGATGCTATCGGAGCTCTGTTGAAGCTCGATAAATCTCGAGCACCTGATCAGATCAGACGGATGGGACGCGAGTTCGGAGCCTCATCAGAACTCGATTCGAATTTAGAATAAGCCTTCCCGAACCGTCCACGGACTTCACCAGGCTGGATGGAAATAACAGACTTGCTGCCGCCTTCATACACGGAACCGAGACGGTAAATTCGGATTCCCTAAGAAACTAAAAAAACTAAACCCGCACGCCCATATGAAAACGGTCTGTATTCAGGTCTTGAAAGCGCTGGGTCCTCTTCCGAGTCTTTGAGCCTCGCGTCGCGGACAAGTCTCTTGGTCTGAGGAACAGATTGTATCGAAACAGAAGCCTAGGACCGTTCTGGAAATCGCGTGGAGAAGCGTGAACCCTCCAGCAGGAACTTCTGAGTCTCATCCTTCCTTCCGCACCACGCCGTCAGAACAATCGGACTGACGCTACACCATACATCTGCGTCCATTCTTCCTCTCACCTATTATCGTCGCTCGACTCGGCATTGCTCATAGAGTTCTGATTTTGTAAAGGTGCGATTGTGAGATCTTCTCTGGGGTCGTACAGTGCCCCTTTCACTGGCGGAACGCCGGGGAATCCGTTTAAACCGTGCATTTCGTGTCTCTCCTCTTCGGGGGAGCCCAAAAGCTGCGGAATCGTCGTTCCAGTCGCGCCGACTGACAGTGACACTGCCTGGTGCTCAGCACCGCACCGAATCACACGTGAACACACATAGTGAACGAAATGGTCTTGAAACTTCACTAATCACTGGAACTTCAATCGGTTATCTCGATGTCCTCCGGAATATTCTCGATTTCCCTCGTTGTCGAGACGAACTTAGATCGAGATGACGGCAGGCACAATTTTTCAAGTCGAGGGAAATCGCTTGGCTTCGACGAGTTACTCCGCTGATCCTTCGAGCTCTCTGTCTGGTCGAGTTCGGAGTGTGGCAAAGGCGGAGCGACCGCTCGATCCCGCCTCCGGAGCTTCCCATTGGATGACGGGCTCCAGACAGCTCTCAACAAGCCTCCAAACGCGCAACCAACGGCTCCAGCGAAAGCCGCGGCGGCGACAGCAGCAGTGAAAACAGCGACAACAAATGAGTTTGTCTGCGATGTGTCGCTCTCGAACAACACTAAAATCCCTCGAATGTTTAGGTTTTTACATAAAGTGATGGGAATCTATTTGCTCCCGAATTTTCGGATCATAAGCTCTCCTCCGAGGATTGGCTGGTCTGCCGCGGGCGAATAATTTTCCGCGGATATTTTTGTACCCCCCAGCTCCGCACCACACGAGTCGCTCTCGAAACGACTCGGTGCTCGTTGCTCATTTGGGCGCTTCGTGGCGCGACGGCTATGCTTGAAGAAATCCTATCCGCCTATTTGTGAGCGATTTGTCGCTGCACCTTGATATGACAGCGTCGACGGTGGATTCCAGCTGTACACGAAAGTTTCACGCGAAGACGTTCCATTCCTATTCTCACACAAGCTCTCGGAACAGCATTCCATCGGGATATCATCCAGAGGTTTTCCTGACCGCAAGCTCTGCTTTCGTGCCTCCAAAAACCTTGGCAACGCATGAGGCCTTCGTTTTATTTTCTTCTTTGAGAATCGGTCTCGAAGATTGCGAATGACTTCCTACCGGGTTGAGCAGCATTTCTCAGTTTGGGGAGATTCATCCCGGATTGTGAGCACACGAGAGTTCCGTCTCCGACTGAGCAGGTCTGTGGGAGGGTTCAGACAGACCTGCGTCTCTGAGGAGCCGGCCACGGATTGAGATTCCCCGATTCCTGTCAACATGGCGAATCAGATCATCGAGATGGTTCGTTCATCGGACTGGGAACAAGGAATCCCGAAATGGCTCTCGCTTCCTTCCAGCGCCAGATCACGAGTCACTTATTCCCGATTGTATTGGGTCTGCTGATCATACCTAGAGATGATCGAGAGCTGGACTTTTCCGGCCCACATTTGGAGCGAATACAGCTGCGACGCACAGCGGATCGAGGGCATTCTGAAACGTGGAGCCCGTCACGGATTATGCGAGATTGAATCTAGGCGTGCGGGAGCTCTAGCAAATTATACGCATGGGACGGACCGTGAAAGGGTCAAGAACATCTTCCCCGGCTTGCATCATTGCACCGATGTGCACAACTCGTAATTCCCTAGGCGCTCATCGATGTGCTGGCTGTGGAACGCGCGGCTCCGCTGAGAGGAGAGCGTCGTCACATTTTCCTACGAGCAGAGAATTATCAGTCGCGCGGCGCCCGAGCAATCTCCTGATATCCTGGAATTGGGAATGAGAATACTAATGAGAAAAAACTTATCGAACGACGGAGGCTTCCGACATTTTGTAGCTGTCATTCCATCTCCGCGTAACGGCATGAGAGTCCGAGTATCACCCAACGTCGACATTCGTAAATTTGACGGGATGTCCAGGCTGCGCCGGCTTCCTCAAGTGCAGTTCCAGATGAGGACCGCAAAGAATTCCTCAGACGGTCTTATCATTGTGGTCAGAGGGAGACGATGAACAGCGGATAATTTTACTTTTTCGACCACGCATCATATACCTGATTTCGATCACGGGATTTCGGAGCGCGAATTAATCTTCGTGCCGCGGGGGTTTTCATGATGAGAATTGCAGTTATGCCGAGGGCAACAGCTGGTTCAGGCTCGCCCGCACAGCGTGAATGCTCGACTGCGCATCACGCTCTCCGCCGATGTGAGTGTGAGACTCCTCCGTCTTCCGCTTCATTCAGCGAGCGAAGCTCTTGGCAAACACTGTCTCGATTTCTCCTGTCACCATCTTCGTCGCTTCCCTGTCGCCCGTGCATGATCAGCATCCGGGCCCCGCCCTTCATTGCTGGTCTGACTGAACTCGCTCGCTACGAGTGCATGAATCCAAGCTAGCATTCCTGCATACTTCAATAAACAATGCTAGAGACGCTTTCTCCCCTTGAGCTTGCCGCATCGAACGACAGATCGATGCCCGCGCTCAAGATGTTCAAATCATGATCTGATAGGGAGTGAGGCTGTTCAATAAATTTATCGAACACGGCTATTGAACTTCGCTCCCGACGACCTTTCCATCGATTTCTTCGCTGGTCGTCCGTCTGATTCCGACGCTCCCGGAAGCTCCGTGCCCGTTCATCCTCAAGTACCTTCCTCTGTTGAGCTTCGATAATTGCGCATTCCCTCCCGGGAAAGCCTCGCTTCGAAGCACAAGGATTCTTCTGAGAGTGGGAGAAGTTCCGTGGGTACTTGTTCTTCTCTGGCTGCGGGTGAGTCGGACCGCTCACTCCGAATATCACCGAGATCTCGGTGACATGTGCCGAAAATCATCAGCGGCTTCAGCTTCTGCGACGGCCCTCTGTTCATCGGGCCGAGCATAACTCAGGGTGTAGAACTGTAGCGGGGGTTGCGGTTCTGATTTTCAGATATGAGGATATTCAACTGGAAACATGAATAAGATTGAGCTCGGTATGAGGGGGACCTCCGAAGGGGCCGTGAGAGAAAAAAAAACGAAGGCGTCCCGAACTCAATAAAACGGCTTATCTATGGATCCAGGCTCTCACCAATACTTTCGGACCGAATACTGTTTCCGAATACGCTCGATGGTGCTGGAAAATTGAGAATATTCGACGGTTCATTCTCGGTCTGGTCTCCGATTCGGAATAGGTCCGAACACTTTCCAGCGGCAGATGAGGGATATTCGAACGCCTCCTTCTGATGTCTCTCACCAAATCCACGACAAGTCTGGATAACGTCTCTAGCGCACTACGAGTTCCCAAGAAGCATCCAGCGCGATTAATTTTCGAAGGGAGCTTCTGCTTTCCAGAACGAGGAGCGCTTCGGACCGGAGCCGGGGGCTCGCTGAAACCAAAGACCATCGCATGTTGAGTGCTGTGGCCTCGTCTCGGGTTGTCGGGTCCACGGGACGCGACGGTGCGACTCGACGTCGTGCCCAGAACGGATCCGAGTCCTGCAATTCACGCCGGAAATTTCCCGAAAATCGGCATGATCCTCCTTATTAGGCAACGTTTTTTCCACATTGAATGTTGCAGGGGGGGCAAATGGAATTCCGGGTGGACGAATGTCGTGAACAGTCTTTTCATTCTCAGTCTTCTCAAGAAATTCAATCTCAGATGGCACCGGGAATGATCGTACAGCTGAGAAAGTCGTGAGGGCATCCTGATTATCGCACCAAGTGTGCCCGAAACTTGTCCGTCGCCTCACACAATCAGATGAGCGGGGACTTCCAACGCTCCAATTGTTGAGTCATGAAGGTAAGTCCGCGGTGAACTACGATCCGTCGAGCAGATTTGTCCCTCGGGGCCCCTCCAGAAGCGCCCGATCGCTTCTGAGAAGATCCTGTCTCTACACTGAGTCAAACTATCGCTTCGCTGCGCTCGCCTTCCGTCGATCAGGAATTTCCAGCGGCCTCCTGGAGACAATGCCATCGGTCGACTCCGGGAAGAAATCCTCGTATTTACGTAGCTTCGAGAGCCATCCCAGACTTTCGATTTCAGGGGGTCTGGTAGGCTCCCTCGGCGAATTTCCGCATGGAGGCATGCTTGAGGCCCGTCCGATCGGAGTGGGGAATATGGGAACATAGCCTCCCATTTTTGATGGCCCCTCAGTGGTCATCGAATATCATTCCTTCGACATGACAATCATGCATACGCATAGCAAATTGACACTGACACAATCAATCAATCATTCCATCTCCTTCCCATCTCCCGAACTTCAAACAAATAATACCATTGCATACCTGCGTGTGTTTCGAGCGAAATCGCTCAAATGAACTTCCACTCTAGTTCTCGCGGAATATCACCCTCCACGATTTCTGTACGATATCATGCCATTCGGAATATAGCCTTTGACGGCATGGGAAACTCTGAACACAAAACACTACACACATAGTAATCAGGCATCAGCGAACTTCTCCTGGAAAAATAAGATCGTAATCGCCTTCATTCGAATAATAATAATCCCTCGATTCGAGCCAGAAGAGCTTTGAAGGCCTCGTGCTCAATCTGAAATCATGACCGCTTCGGGAAAACGTGAGGATTGACGTCTCAGTCCAACGATAACACGACCTTGACATATCGCTCATGGAGCGATCACGTCGGCGGTCATCCCTGAAAGAAGCTAGAATCGGTCCTCGACTTTTATCGGGAAGCTCGCTTTCCGAAGATCGATCTGCCAAACTTCTGGGATTTTTTCTCAAGAATGCGTTCAATTCTCGCCCCCGTTGGAGGCAAGGTAGGCAATTGGAAGTTTGACCATCACGCTGCGAAAGCGCTGAGCCGAGTTCGATGAGGACCAATGGGAATTGAAGAAGAAGAAGAAGAATTCCTCTCCAGCGGGACTCCTTACGTCGGACGTCGGCGAGCTTATCGGGAAGCCTGAGCAAGCCGGTTGAATATAGAATATCTTGTACCGATTTTAGTCGAATTGACGCGTGCCTCCTGTCCGAGGGACGTCTGCAGACGAACGGGCAGCTCGTAGAGGGATCGGGGAATGAACGAGGACTTTCTAATAGATGGATGCTCATTGTCAGCGGAATAGCCACTTGAGGTAAACGATGAGTCACGCGATTTGAATCACGCGAATGTCCCAAAGAGTATACCGATGTCTGCTCCCGGTAATCATGAACATGATTCGATACCGGCTAGCCATATTGGAACTATGTATGTACAGGCGGCACGAGGCGGGCAGAGTGAGGACTTGAGGCCGCGTCAATCGGGGTAAGCTTCCCACCCTAGTTCTGAGATGGTCCTCAGTGGATACGCAGCGCTCTTGCCAGTCGAGAATCGACCCCACTCACCAATCGAACCCTCGACAGAAATGATGTCGATCACCTCATCGATGTCGCTCCATTGTTTCCGCATTGTTCCGAGGCGGACGTCCCTGTCGAAGAGTCAAGACCTGGTCTAGAAAGAAAAGCCTGCTCCCGAATGAACCGGGATTGGTTTCGAGAATACCAAATATTCTGGAGATTTTCGAGACAAGAGAGGCGCGGATGCGAATGGAGGAATCCCATCCTCTTTAAGCGTATTGTGAGAAATTCTGAGAATTTCTTCAACGTTATGGAAAGACCTTCCACTCAGTTGTACACTCACATGCAAAATCATACGCGCCCCTTTCGTGGATGTACCCATAGAGGGTGCCCGCATAATTTCGCGACTGAGGGTATGCATGAATACCCTGCCCTAAAGGGAATGCTCTCATTAGAATCGGAAGAAGAGCGTCGGCAGAATTCAGCCTGACCGAATGGCTCTGCTTCAGACGCAAACAGAATGATTCTGAGAACTCCCCGGAAAGGAGTACCCGGGAGAATCGAGCCAGGGAAGCAGGAACACCGAGTATCTTGTGAGTATAAGAGCCCTTGAGCTTGATCATTTTCTCCCACCGGATCCGGCACGAGGGACAACTTCATGATCCGAGGGAACTTCGAATCTTGAATCATGATGCTAATCGTGCACCGACCTGACGGCCCAGTGCTCGAGTGTATAAAACCTCACGCAAGGAATTGAGCAAGACGCAGCAAATACTGATTTCTTGAACAAATAACACACATGAATCTACAACCATGGAAGCGCCGATAATATTCGATTGCGAGTCTCCCGCGCCAATTCTCATTGTCACGGAGAGGTTCGGTTAGGAGAGACCAGGCCCGAGGAGTTGGATCAGCAGACTCTGCATGTTAGCTATCTGCAGTACAGGAAGCGGTGCCGGTCAAGTCGACGGAGCTAGTATCGGACTACGTCGAGGTTCTGAGGGTTCCATTCCATCAACGGCTCTCGGACTCGCGGCCTGGCCGGCTCGCCACCACCTCCGGTCAGGGACCTCCATAAAATCTAAATTAACAACCGGTCTGGAGCAACCGAAGAGTAAATCGGGACAAAACAGGTGGAACGTGTTTCCCAAAGAACTCAAAGCGAGGGTGCGGAGAAAGCTGGATTACTCATGGCGAGAGAACATGGTCACCAAAACCACATTACGTATATATCGGGAAGTTAAGATAAACGGGGTCTTGAGAGGAATATATACGACAACACGCGAGACAGCAGACTCCTGGCGCTCGCGAGGGCAGGAATGCTCATTACCAGGAGTCGGCGACACGCCCGAGACCCTTCGATCGACGAGTGCTGTCCCAAGTGCGGAGCCCCAGAGACGGACACCCACATCGTTCTGGAATGCGAGGAAGGAGGATTCGATTCACAAGAGTTCTCGTACCGACTCAGACTTCACCCTGGTACTATCGCGAAAGATCTGAGGGGGAGGAAGAATATCTTGAGAAATGGGACGGATAAATGATCTGTGAATGCGGAGAAGAATTCGCCCCTGAAATGAAAGGGACCATATACTAGCATATGGAAGATTGAAACAAAATCATCAACTCGATGGGGTTCGGGAATGAGACTCTTTCGGACTGAGCATGGCGGCGGCTCTTCGCGTCGTATTCTCCGGTGCGGGAGAAGGAAGAATATGATTGGAAACTACCCCGATTATCATGATCGCTATTGCTGTGCTGATGATGATCGCCCAATGCTAGTGATGATTCATCATCCTCGAGACTTCAATGCTTGTGATGCAGATGATTCCCGAAACTTTGGAATCCCCGCGACCTTGGCAGACCGGAAAGGAAGACGTCGACCAAAACTATCATACATAGATAGAATCTGACTAACGCATTTCGCGCCGCGGTCTTAATCGTGATGATTCTCCAGAGTTTCCAATGTGAGCATCGAGGACGAAAGGATGTTGAGGGCCCGAGGGTACATGCGCCCATTTCCAGCGACGCTCGATGACTTTCTCCCGCCAATGTCGAGGCAGCAGCTCGCTACGATCATTCGGAGATGACCTATCCAAACCAGAATACGAGATCCGCGGACCCGAGCGCCTCTATTGCGTCGGTCCCGTATCCGTAGTTCCCCTGCTCGTACAGAGCGTTTCAGAGCGTAAAACAGAAGAAACAAGGGCAGGATCGCTTCCCATATCCAGTCGAGCTGGATCTGCCTTGGACGCTTACCCTCGAGCTGGAACAGTCTCCCATTAGCGCTCTCGTCGGGACGTCCTCTTCAGAAAATATTTTAGGATTCCTCACGCCTATCGATCGGGACTGGGCAGTCCACTGGATAGAGGAGCCCGAATCTCTTGCCCTCCTAAAGCCAAATCATTGCGGAATTCGGTCAAAAGAGCACAAAGCCTTAGCAATATCGGAAAGTTTATCAATGGACAGTGCTCCGCTGATTTACACTCAATGTACACTCATGCAAGCGATGGAAGAAATATTCATGGATTCCATCAATATTGGCTCTTCTTGATGATCTTGATGTGGTCTCCAGCATCGTATACCGTCCCGATGGGTCGGGGGTGAGGAGGAGGGGATGGGAGCTCGTTGGCAGACCAGCCCTGTTGCGCCGGGGCCTGCTTTTGGCTTGGTGCGGGTGCGGCGCTCACCGTTATGTAGGGCTGAGCGTGCACAGGAGCGTGAGAGGACTCAATGACGCGAGTGTGGATTCGGTGGGGGGCGTAATTCGCTGGAGCAGCGAAAGTGTGAGTGGTCACTTTGACCGGAGCGTGTTGCACGTGACCGTTGTCGGGCAAGTTCACGGTTATCGGTTGAGGGCTCAGGCTCACGTGCGGGACTGGAGCTGGAAGAGGGACGTCAGCGGGGGCTTCGGCGATGTGGACCTCATGAGCCGGGCTCTCCTCGTAGTGGAACTCGATGCGAGGAGCAGCCGCAGGTCCTCGGACGACTTGGACGATTCTGGCTGGAGGGGGCGCCGGCTTGTGAACGTTGATGATCTGGGGCGAAGGCGCTCGGTGCACGATACGCTCGATGTGGGCCGGACCGGAACTCTTGGCGATGACGCGGATGAGAGCAGGGTTTTCCGCGGGAGCTTGAACCCTGATGATCTCGGGGGCGGCCTGCTCTTGCTCGTGGACACGGATCAATTGATTGGGTCGAGCGTACTCCTCGATGCGAATGAACTGACGGCCGGACGAAGTGTGGATCTCGTGGAGCCGAGGCTGAGGAGCGGGCGCTGGCGCCGCCGCTACATGCGGGTTTTCCTTGTGGGCCACAGCCGCGGCTACTGCAACGACAGGTGCCGCCGCGTAGTGGGTCGACACACTGTGTCCATGGTGCGGCGCGCTACTCACTTGAGCGTGCTGTTGGTGATGAATCGGAGCGTACGAGTGAGCTCTCCCAAGATGACCGGCCTGAGCGGCCGAGGCACAAACGAACAAAATGACACAGGAGGCACTGAATGATTTCATTTTCGCTTGTTTGATGACGATCGTAGGGGTCCTGATTGCTTTTAAGCACATTCGGCCATCGCGTCGCTTATGCCACAGGCGAGGGCACAAAAATTGAAAAAGAGAAAACTTGATTCATTCAAATTCTCGATCGGCGGCAAAATGTCCACTCGCCTCTTCCTCCTCCACAGGACGAGAAGAATCCGCGGGAATTATCCGGGTGGGCTTGCGGGTGTGATGGTCACCGACGATCAATGGGCTGGAGGTTTATTGTCAAGTATTTTGCCCTCTAAGAAGAGCCAGGTCAAGGCTCGTGGACCGATACGTGATCCGGTCTAATGCAATCGTTTACTGCTGTTCCTTCTGAAGACATTTGTAAGGATTATTTTTGTTTCGCGCATGGGCGCATTGGCTCGCCGTAACAGTGCTTTTTTCTCCGCTCATCCCGGATCGGTGCAGGCTGGAATTCTCAGTCCCTGTGGATTCCAATGCGTCGAATTAGCCGAAAGAGCTCACGCGGCGATGGCCACAAAGACCGTTACACGCTGCGCCATCGCATTGGCTACCGATTCCGTCTATTGGATGCTCGAAACAATCCGATTTGGTTCAGACGAACGTTCCAGACATTCAATTGCCGAGACGGCGTCGACGTGGATACATCAGTATATCATCCTTCAGCGCTGCGTTGAATCGAGATGGAGAGCTGCTGAAGGTTTCTTGAAATCTACGCTAGGATACTTCCCCTCGAGCGTCCTTACGAATGTCTCTTGGAAGAAGAATTTAAGAAGCTTCAATGAGGTACCGTCGTTTCACTGGAACCTTGATGTTTATTTTTCGTTCACTTGACGGTAATAATACAAAGTACTAATGTTTTGTCGCTTGTCACCCATTCAGATCTTGTAGCGCTGGGTCTTTCACTCCACTTGCGCTTATCATTCGTCCTTTGATTTTGTCTCAATCAAGGAAGTTTGTTTGCAGTTGATGTTTTTCTTTGATCAAATGTTCACCATCTTCAGGAATACCTCCGCTTCTCCATTTCATTCAATGTTTATGTACTTATTTATATATATATATATATATATATTCATTTTTATATATTTAGTTACTCATATTACCAAGAACTTATTCATATTCGCATCGCCGGGGGTCGGTATTTACTCAGTGCATAACACATATTGATCAACAACCGATCGTAGATTTTCATGTAAACTATTCCGAATACAACAATTCACTAATGTAGTTGTAGACTAAGATTCGAAACATGCACCTTCGTCACATGTGCCTCACAAATTGGGATTTCGACACGACAGCGAGTGCACCCATGGTTCCATCGTGGTCGAAGCCCCATCCGTGTCGGGAGACAGCAGGACGGAGTTGAAATAATTGGAATCAGAACCAATTCGTTCACTTAAACCCTCGGGTGTATCCACCGTCGTCCGCTTGACCATTCCGTTGCGAGAACGTTCTTCCGCCATCTAGAGAACAGCTCTATTACAACTCGAATACTGTTTCCTCGGAATCTCGGCTCTACTAGAAGATCGACGAACCAACAGAAAACAACTCTTGCACGAATATTGATCGGCACAAATGAGACGCAAACTCGACTGTTGATATCTCGTGTTGTGCACTATGTGTATATATCAGGAGCTAATGGTATTTACACAAGTATACAGAAATTACAGCTCAATCATTTCAATCGGCAATGAAAGTTCCACGGAAATCTCCTATCCAGATGATGTGTTCGATATTTGTGTCTGCCCGATCTCCGGATCAGTGAGGTCTCTCTGTGTGTGTAAGCGTAAATCGTCTGAGTTTCACAAGAAAAGCATCCATCGAGTACGAAGAAAGAGGAAGAAACTAGTCCATCTCTCCGAATTCAAGCATGTGATTGGAAATCGGATCGAGAGGTCCTATTCGTCTGTCGACGTCGAAGAGAGAGATTCGTCGACCGGAAGCTCCGGTCGAATTACCAAGTCATGGTATCTGTGGGAATGGCTATACAACTGATGGAATTCTTTGCTGTCTGAGTGAGTTTTCGCTGGAATCTCGGCTGAGAACTTCCTGAGCACTAGCGCAGCGGGAATGACTCGCGAGTCTCTCGCAACCGCCGTTCTTCATCCAATCGATGTGTCAGAGTTGTTCTTTTGTATCTATGAATGTCGCTACTTCCAAGAAGAGCTTCTCGACGACGGGGGAATCATGTCGAGTAGGTACTGTCTCTGTAGGTCGGCAGCGCTCGTACTCTTCGAATTCGCCCCGCTATTGCCTGAACCGGTCGAGTTACCACTCGAAGACGCCGCAGCCGACGTCGAAGCCCCCGCAGCTCCGGATCCCATCAAGGAGGGATTAGCTCCTTGTAATAACGATAGCGAATACGCCTGTAAGATCAGAGGATTCATCAGGGCTGCAGCAGCTGCAGCCTGTTGCTGTTGTTGGTGCTGTTGTTGTTGGAGCTGCTGCTGCAGATGCTGTGCCTGATGCTGTTGCTGCTGATGGTGCTGACCGCTCCCCGAACCTGGAAAATCAGAATCGAGACGTGAGTCTTAGGGACGGTGAAAAATGGGCGACGGCACCCTCCCGCGAGGATGTTCTCGCCGGGCGGGACCGAGGAATCTCCACGAGGGCAGAATGGACTGTCGATGACGAGATTCCCTTTAATCGGGGAGAGACATTGCAGTAGGAGTGAATTAACTTGCCGCGTGAATTGTGACTCGCCACAGCAGCTGCGGCCATGAATTGCTGAAGGAACTGTTGCGCCTGCGCCTGCACAAGGGCTTGATGTTGTTGTGACACCGAGAGTTTTGACAGTTGCGACGCGATCGAGTTTTGTGAAGCCGCTGCCGCAGCTGACGATGCTGATGACGAACCTGGTGGGGGAAAAGAACGCGTTCTTGAGATTTCCGGAAGAGACGGCGAACAGTTCAAAGGCGGCAAATATGTTTAACAAAAAAGGGAAAACCGCTCAAAGCATAGATTGGGCGAATGTGGCACATGAATTTTCAGCGTGGAAACTTCTACGGGGGAGGCCGTACCTTTGGATTTTCCTTTTCCTCGGCTCGAACTGGCTTGTTGTGGATTCGCTCCAACACCCAAGCCCATCAATCCGCTCAAACCACCTGCTAACAACGAACTTTGCATCGATGCTGCTGCAGCCGCAGCCATCACAGCTGCGGCGCTCTGCTGATCTACAACAGAATTCGATGTATTGGAACGAGAATGGTGCGGTGAAGAAGAATGATGCCTCGACGACGAGGAACTGTTCGAGTGCGCGGCAGCCGCGGCGTTCACGGCTGCGTGTAGCGAGGCTGCGCTCGCTGAAGGTGAAGAAGTTCGATGGCCGACCGAAGAGTTCTGTAGAGAGATCGCTTGCTGCTGCTGCTGCTGTTGTTGTTGTTGTTGTTGTTGCTGCTGCTGCTGTTGTTGTTGCTGGTGTTGCTGCTGGTGTTGCTGGTGTTGTTGTTGTTGTAACTGGCTCAGACTTGGTTTCGGTGAAGGCGACGGGGAGCGTAAACTCGGTGGAGGAGACACGCCCATCGCCATTTGAGCCTCGAGTTCCTGCTCCTGCTGAAGAGCCTTGACGAAGGCGGCTTTCAACCGATTCGTGTGTTCGGCCTTGAGCGCTTTCTTCATGTTGTGGGACACGCAGCTCTCGCAGATCACCGACGGTCCATTTAATTTAGGCTTGTTTTTGCTCGTTGACGCGTCTGGCTGTTGCCATTTCCAAACCGGTGTGAAATCGCATTTACATTGAACACAGACAAATGGTGCGGGTGGCGGCCCCTTATTGGTCTCGTAACCTTCTTTGAGAAACGTCACGACGGTCTCCAACCCAAGTAAACAGATAAACTCGGCACTGTTACCGTTTGGCACGAAGTGCATTTCCGGAGGCGGTGCTTTCGGGGGCGGTATCGATAACAGAGATTTTTCCAACTGTTTCCGTAGAGCGAGTTTGGCGGCTGCCTGTCGCTGTTGACGAGATATCTGCAGATCTTGATGTTTCACTGAGCCGTTGGTGCTACCCGCCGTACCCGCTAACATTGCCGCATTGGCTGTATTTGCAGCGCTGTGTCTTCGCTCTTGCGTTTGACTAGGCGTCACGCAACGCTTCTTATCAACTAGAGGTGCACTCGAACTCTTGTTCGTAAGCTGAAGAATTTCGGACGTTGCCGGTGACGTTGGCCGCGACTTTTCCTGGAACGAGGGAGCAACGATCTCAGAAATCGGGGGCGTAAGGTCTCTCTCGCGAGCTGACAGAGCGAGTAGAGGCGGGAGAATACGGAACGTTCTATGAATTTCGCCGCTGAATTAACTTCTCCGGCACTCGGGCTCATCGGGGACACCATCACAATTACCTTGTTCTCCTTGTTGTTCGAGATCGACGGACTCGTGGCGACCGGTGGTGGCAACAGCTGACTCTGTTGTATTCTCCGTAACAGTACCAGCTTCATTTCCTCGTTCCGCAAACGCATCTTCAATTCTGTGATTCTCCGCATTTTTTCTTCAAACAACTTGAGGTCCTCCTGCAAACGAATAGATTAAGAATCGTTACAGGAAATTCCGAACGGCGAAATCGGAATCGCGGCTGCGTTACACCCCCGAATACATCACGTCTTATTAGCTCGCACGATTCAACGTTTACTAGATACGTACCGACAAAAAATCCTCCTCGAGCTTCACTCGACTGCTGGCTAACACTCCTTCCCCTTTCGAAAGGTTACCGCCATTTGTTCGACACTTTTTGAGGTCCGGCTGCAAATCAACGATTTGTTCGAGGCCGTGCTTGCCGTTGTCGAGAGCCATCATGGTTGGGGACGACCGCAGTGGTGAATCACTCTAAGGAATCAAAATAATTCGATAACATTAGATCTGCGCTCCTGATTCTTTCGATTTTTTTTCAAATTGTCTAGATGGGAGAATACTCGAGGATGAAGAAAGGAGACTCACCTCCATCCTCACATCGACGTTGTCCTCCTCTTCAGTTGTATCCCCGGAGTGTGCAGATCCGTTGCTCTCTTTGTATCCATTCTGCAATCTCAGCGGCGAAGAACTCTTCCGGGAATTTTTTAATTCACTGGCCACCGGTGAGGTTGAGAGCATCTGTGGTTGCGAAATCCCATCTTAGCATCCGATCCTTAACCATTGATCGAGCAAGATGAACGTATAATGAAGAGGATCGAACTGGATGAAAGAAGCTCACATCGTCTTTGGTTTGCGATTTGCGCTTGTGTGCGGAAGTGCCGTTGACCTTCTGAACCTCCATCCTTCGATATCGAGAGAAGATTCAGGTGAAGGCAAACAACAGGTAGGACCTGACCACTGTGTGTCCTACGACCGCAACAAAAGGATGATCACTCCTTCGGAATGGAAGTTTTGTTTTCATTCGGATTCCTTGAGCTCGCAGAGTCAATGAGCATGTCTGTGGAGAAAAACGCTCCGTCAGCCTGCATATCTCTCGAATCGAGTCTAGCCCAGCATTTTTTCAGCGATCGCAAACATGTGAAGGACGATACGATAAATGACATTAAGTCTTGGCGTCCGCTTCCAACACCCTATCCGAGTTCGCTAGTTCGGCAAAGCAACCGAGGAACTCATCGATATTATTGCTTTGGATCATAATTATCACCCCCAATGATTGTCCAGCATTCATTCGAATCTATAAGCCCCATTCGAAACAAACATCGAATCGGTGACGACAGTGTTGGCCGGCGAATTCCAAAACTCTCGCTGATCGAAAAGTGTACACGAGGCCTCACTGCCTCGATCTCACCCTAACGCTTACCAGCACAAGACACTCACTCGCTCACAAACACACACGCTTACATAAATCGGAGGTAGAGAGGTCAGTTACCTCAAGCGACTGCCGCGATGTCGTCGTGCGCTCGCCGTCGCTGCCGCTTCTTAATAATCCAGAATGGTCCGGCAGTGGGCATGAGAGCAAAACAACAACGACGACGACAACTGCGGCGGGAACGAGCGATTTCTCAGGAACGAGCTGTTTTCGTTCCCGAAGCACACGTCTATTCCAATAATGCCATCGCTGCTCGGCGTAGGTATATGCAAGGAAACGAAGCGACGTCTGCCCTGAACAGCCACACACACTGCTGCTGTCACCTCTTAACTAGGTCTCCCTTCTCGCCTTCATTCATCGGCTTGTGACGTTTCTCATGACTTAAAGTCAGCCGCACAGTCATTCATCCAGCCAGCCAGCCAGCCAGCAAGCAAGCGAGCCAATCCGGAATCCATTGCACCGAGCTCCCGAACTGACGAACGAACTACGAAGCCTCCAATCGACTCGCGATACGATTCACGCAGTCCCACACGATTTCCACTGACGTACGCATAAGACACAATCTACGGGACGATTCTCGTCGATCCCACGACACACGGTATAGATAGCGTTCGCTCGAACCTCTCGCCGCCCTAATCGTTCGGAAACGAACCCTTCGTGACGTCGCGAGCTCGATGTCTCGGATTCAGATTCCCGGTAGCTTGAGGTCCATGAGCTCCGTCTTGTTTCAGAAAGCGAGCAAGAGGATGAGCACCGATCAGTCGCTCGATTCACCAAGATTGACGTTCGAAGAGAGACTCGTATACCGGATCGCATACGACTCGAAAGCGAACAGAACTCGTAGCTTCGGTGTACGGCAAGCCGGCGGCGCGGCTTGTTTCATTGCTTCTACTCGAGCGCGACCAGCTCGTAGTGCCGTACGAAAATTCGACCACGTCACGACGAATCCAGAAACGAGCATCGCCCTGAGAGCACAAGAACTTTCACACCGCGAACGACCGAAGGTCTCACCGGGGACACAAGCACGCACCAAGAGTGGCGAATAACGAGTCGGAAAGACGGACAGACAGACAATCGGACGGACGGACGGACGGACGGACGGAGAGACAGACGGATAGACAGACGGACGGACGGACGGACAGACCGTCCGTCGGTCCGTCTGGTGGCTGACAATCAGTCCGACACAATCCTGCTAAGCCGCCGCCGTCGTCGTCGTCGTTGCGGCCGCAGCATCATCGTCGTCGGCGGCGGCAGGGGAAGGAATCCGATCGTCGAGCGAGGTTTTTAATTTGAACAGCAAAGCTTGCTTGCCTCATGCCATTGTTATAATATCCAGCAGCAGCGACGGCGATGATGATGATGGTGCTGCCGCTGCTGATGATGACGATGTCGCTCATTCGCTCGCTCGTTTACCGGATGGCTCATTGGCTGAGTGACTTGACGGGCTGGCTGGCAAGCAAGCAGCATGCTAGCTGGATGGTCGGTTGGGTGGCTGGCTGGCTAGCTGTCTAGGTGGCTTCCCGCTGCTGCCGCCGCCGCCGCCGCCGCCGACGACACAGCCGATGCTGCTACTACTGTTGTTAGTGTTGAGAGGAGACCAGAAGACAAGATGGCGGCGGCGGATCCGAGCCCGGTAATTGCAAGCAAATACTCCGGAGTCCGCGCTGCGGCAGCGGCCTTCTCTATCGTCGTCGTTGCCACCGCCGCCGCCGCCATTGCTACCACCGGTCGGTGCGTCTGTCCGTCCAGCCGTTCGGCTAGTCTGTGTGTTGGTGTCGTCTGTGAGAGTGTGTATGGATGTGTGTAAATGTCTGTCTGTCGGTCCGACGACTATCTATATCTATCGGCGGCGGCGGCGGCGGAGTCTGTCTGCTTGGTGGCCGCTGCTGCTTCTGCTGCTGGTCCTTACCACCGACACCACACAGACGCACACTCTCACAGTCGGCGGCTGCGGCGGCGGCGGTGACGACGACGACGAAGACCACCACCATCAGAGAAACTGACTCAAGACTTTCGGAGGAGCTCGAGGCGTCGACACCTCGTTCTCGACGCGTGTTCTCCCAGCTCATGTTGTGTACATGTCATACGGGAGGGAACTCGATGAACGATTCAGGGAGCCCTAATAAAGATAATCGTCTCGAGTAACGCGCGATCTTGAGAGTAGCCACTTTTCCCACAGAAGTCGAATCGGCTCCGTCCACAACCGCCGCCGTAAAATGATCTGGACTAAATAATCACCCGATGCGAATATATCCACGCACGAGCACGCTCCTTGCTTCACACGCTGGCGCGCACACACACACACGCACGCACAAACACTGTGGAACACGTTCTCACGCGCTCTGTCAGGGTACCCTGTCGAGAAGCTGCCGAAACCTCTCGCGACGATTTGACGAGACCCCTCACGAGGATGCGTCCAGGATCTGGCGAGACCTCCTACGAGGATCTGATAGAATCTTCCACGAGACCCCCACGAGACTCCTTGGCCGAGTGCTCGCTCGGGACTCCCCCTCGAGGGATGGGTACTACGGCGTCAACGAATGAGGTCGAAGAACATCCTCGTGAACCGACAACGACAGGAGACGAGCCTCACCACCGTAGGGGACCGGCTCCTTCGGGGCACAGCAGCGTTGAAAGAAAATCGACGGAGCAATCGTTGCTCGGTCGTGAAACACGAGCATGGCAGAAGCGAAACTATCGTCACCAACGACGAGAGATCGACCGGTCTCAACAGAAGTGAACGGGCATGGAGAAACGCACGGGATCCACTACCGCATGAACAGTCTCACACACGCTCCGCTTGTTGATACTGTTGCCGTCGTCGTTGCTTTTGTTGTTGCTGGGGATGATGCCGCTGAGTACTCGCTTTTCCTCGGGTCGCTCCCACGGTACGAAGATGTCGCCGAAACTTTGAGCACCGTCATTGACTTGCCTGATCGTTTGTTGGCTGACCGATCGACCAATCGACTGACTGACTGACCGACTATCTGCCTGACGGGCACACTCGTACGCTCACTGACTTACTCGCACTCTCACTCGCTCTATCGCTCCTCAGAAGTCAACGGCTTGCTTTCTAGCCTCGCTTACCGCAAACGCCCGTGAGCCGCCTCTGAGAGTTTCCTCGGTCAGATTTGGTATGTTGGACTGCCTCGCCTTGACCCGCGACAGCAAACCAACTAGCTAGCAGCTAACTTGTCGAACGGATAGACAATCAGTGTTATAGCCAGCAAGCTGCAGCGGCGGCTGCTGCTGCTTGGTCGGTTGAATGTCGGCAACGGCGGCGCGGTGCTCTTCGTTGTCGTCGTTGTTGTTGTTGTCGTCGTCGTCGTCGGCTAGCTGGCTCGCTTGCTTACTCGCTGCTGCTGCCTGCTGCTGCTGGCTAACTCTCTTCAACCAAGCGCGGCGGCAGCAGCAGCGCAGCGGCGTTGGCTGCAGCGGCGGCCGCTGAGCTCTGCTGCTAATTAACAATGCGATTATCCGGGGAGGGACGCGACAACATTTGTCTCCTCCTTTCTCCTCCTTCCAACAAACGACGACGACGACGACAAAGACGATGAAGCGAGCAGCAGCGGCGAACACCGCCGCCGACCATAACAACAACACCTGCGAGAGATCGCTGACCGCTTGCTCAACTTGAACTAGAGAACTATGGTACCGATCCGGAGCGGCTCACCCCAATGAGTTCATGGCTGGAACGCGCACAGTAGATGAACTACGCGGTCGCGGGAGTCACACTTTGGCTCCGCTGGCCGATCATTCTCCGTCAGGACTAACGCGAAAAAACCAAATTGAAATCGTTCTCGATACTCGAACTCCCCTGCTCCACAAAGTTCAGACGGAGTGTCGAACGTTCCGGAAAACTCACTCACAAGTCGGAACTGAGGATCGACCGACCGCAGACCCAGATCTAGACTCCGGAATGGTCAAGGCACACAGGGTCGTCAGCGGCGGCGCGGCGGCGGCTATCATGGTTCGTGTTGCATAGTCTACTTCAGATCCCGTCTCGACGACTTTTTCTCCACCGAATCGAACACGTTCAGCGGCGGAGCACAATGGACCGCAGCTCAACACTGAGCGATGAGGAAGTGGCGGACGATTCGTAAGGTGTACCTTGGAAATTGTCCAGTGCTGGGCACAAGACGCTGCTGCTGTTTCTGCAGGAGCGTTTCTCAAGAAAAATTCAGACTTGATGACAACAACGGGTTAGAACAGCAATTTGCCTTTAGCCGGGTAAATGCATCCGTCCGTAGATGGCTCTGCGATCGCTCCTCCGATCATAGAGCCGGCGCTGCTGGACGTGCGAGTCAGCCTGCGCGAATGATCTCTGGCGAAGCTTCCTCTTGTTCGTTTGCAGAAATGCTCACGAAACTTAATTCGGACGAGTATTTATTGACGCTGAGGGGAACACCTGGAGAAAGAGTGCGACCCGAAATTCTGCAGAAACCTAATTCTCCGACGGGGCTGCGAAGGCGATGATGTTCATGATCTGCGCTGAAGGTTTAAATGGTATCGGGCGGTCCTGCTCTTTACTTTCCTCCCCTGCTTATCTGGGAGAACCTGGGAGATCTCACAATGGATTCACAGGAGGATCAGATTGTAAAACCCGGAGGATTTTCGACACCTGTCGGCGTCATCTCATGGCGAGATTCCGGCTTGATTGGTCTTCCGAAGTTTCTGAGGCATCGATGTCCCAGACAAGCGTCGCGATCCGCAGATGAAAGTTGCTCCCGAAATGATTGTGACATCTATCAAGCTGCATCTGGTTGGTCTGGCATCCACGATCGCGACAGTCGTAAATCGGGATCCGACTGTATTAGTCGAGATGGAATTCTGGTGAGTGCCTGGCTGGGGTGGCAAGATGCTTGGCGAGCAAAGTTGGCGGGAGGGGGGGTACGATCCTGGCTCACGAGAATGTGTTGACAGTGTCAGGTGCTGCAGACCTTGCACGCGCAGACTGCTCGCCCGAGCTTCCCTTCAGCGAACTCTCCGTCAAGAGGTCGAGAAGAGTTAGCCGGAGGTGGCGAAACCGGGAGTCTAGAGCGCCCTGCGCGCAACCCGCAGATCCACCTTGATGAATACCGTTCCGTCAAAGAAAATCATATCACGCGCAAACCCGCTCGTTTTCTCCCTGCGCTCGGCTAGTTTACTCTGGAATCCATTGGAAATTCAGGGCCGAATGCTCGTCGGGGAGCCCACGGTGCTGTTTGAGAAACTCCTGTACGGATATCGGATACTGCGCCCTCGCTCAGTCATCGCCATCAATGATCATCTGATCATATTGTCAGGGCCAGAGGTTCAACTCATTGATCATTCCTTAACCTCAATCTATACTTTTCGGTTCATGTATCGATGAACGGATCGAGCTCGATTGAGCACTCGCTTCACCCCTGACCGCGCTGGAGCGAGCGGATTATCGTGTAGCTCAGAGGAATGATACTCGGGTCATCAGACCTGAAGAAGGAATCGATCCGGTTCAAAGTAGGCGAGCTTTTCTAGAAACTTCCATCGAGTTTTTTTCTGGAAACTTTCCACGAACGATCTTCTACTGAGAATGGAGGGCCATTGGAGTCTGCTCCGTCTTCAGCACGTAATTCCGCGAAGGGCCTCGCCGATAAGCAGTTTCCGACGGCGGAACCGTACAGCTGAACGAATACGGTTAGAACATGGATTATAAACTAAAGTAATGGAATTCGGAGACGTTTTGGCTCCTAATCACGGAATTGTGCCGCGCTATTTCCACCACTACGTAGAACACATGAGCTGTCGTCCGCTTCCTGATTCGACTTCCCAGTGGCTTGATGAATACTGACAGCATGTGTGACCCTTTCAGCTGCGTTCTATCGGAAGAGGGTATTCGTATTCGACAGATGTACTCGACCATGCCTGAAAATCCTCATGTTGCGATTCCATGCTTCAACCGTACGCAAGACTCTAAACGCACAACGTTCTTCTCATTCTCATTATTCATCGAGCCTTTCGGTGAAAAGTCGACCCGCTAAGATCCCCGCTGCTGGTCATTGAAATTTTTCGTATTCCCTCGCGCAATGCTTAGGGGGTCGACTGCTCGAAATCCCGTTCTTCTTGGGAACCGGATAAAGGCATGAATGAAGGCACTTTTTCGCGCCAGGAGAGCTTTGCTTCATCGCCGGGCTCAAACTCTACAGACTTCAGAGTTCAGAAGGATACCTCCTGCCAGACCCCGAACATGCTCGACGCAATTCAATTCAGGATGCGAATGGGGCGCTCGCGAAGGAATCTCGTTCGCATCTTGTCTCGCTCAAGAGGAATTCATAGGAGTAGTCGAGAACAAAAGAGGGGTTCGGACCGCGGGCCGAGCGAATGCATTCAGCCGTAGAGGGCTCTGCGATCGAGAAAGAGAGAAGCAGCGCCGCTGCTGCTCTCGCAGCTCCTAATACCGCGTCTCCAGGTCGGACTCTACGCCGCGCCGTCGCCATCACACATTGTAGAGTGATTGTCGGTATGTGGTGGTGTGTGCTGCCGATGCCGCGTTGTTAGGCCTAAGCATAAGATTAATCGCCTGCGGAACTCGTGCTTGTGTTGTTCCTGCGCCATCACTGTAATTCTGGCGTCCGACAGAATTGTTCGGAGAGCATTTCCCGCTTGTGGTTAAATCGCGGCCGTGAGCCATCGGCGAAGCTTCCGGACCGACGGCCGAACGATCGATAAGGACCTAAATTTGAAGCTCATTGACCGAAATCGTTTTATTCAACTTCGAGTCTGCACACAGGAACGGAGCGTATAGACCAACTGCACCGTGGATATCGTGTCGTGGCTCCTGCTCAACGTTTTCGTGATCGTGAGCTCGCTGATCGCGTGAAATCAAAGCTCCTCGAATCAGCTCGACCATCTGAACTCGCACTATCGTTCTCGACTGCCGCCTCAGGAGGGCTAACAGGTAAACAATCCAGCTCCTCGGACGGCTCTGCGTAGGGCAGTGAACGAAGTTTGTCCTAGTGAATCTAGCTCGTCATCGTATTCCTCGCGTCTACAACGCCTCCACTGGGTGAGTTCAGTTCTTCACTATCGATTATTAATAAATCGAGGATGGGAATATATGATGCATTCAGGTAGAGCCATGCGAACTATTCCGGGACAATCTCAATCATATTATTCCGATGCATATGAGGTCTCGCGCCTCATGGATTTTTGTCAAGAGTACGAGGCGATCGATCACAATCATAGCCGTGTGGCCGATTCATTCCGAAGGATATTGGGTCGAGAGTCCTCCGATATCGCCGCTCTCGAGAGCAGGGCGTTTCTGCTCTAAACGAATCATCTTTGTGACGAACCACGAGGGGCTCGTTCGCTTAGAATTTCAGTGCTTCCCTAGGCTGATCGAGAATTCGGGTCCGACCTTCGGCCGGCTCGCTTGCTGAGCAAACACAGGGTGCTATTCTGATATCTGCCCTTCCTCGGAGCGATATTTCGAAATGCAGAGCACTCGAGCACCGAGTTCTATGATAATGGCTATGGTATGGCATTGCATCTCATGTGAGAAAGAGCCGGCCTATCGGAATATAGTGTGTCGCGTCGCGAGATTTCCGAGCTGCCCTCGATAAATGTTTTACGACAAGTCCATTACGTCATCGAAGAGCGCTTATCTGATCTGGATCGTTATCCACCCGAAACATGAAATCTCACCGAACCCTGTGCGAATATTGAGTCTATTCGAGTTAGGTATGCGGAGCTCGTGGCGTGATATGATGCATCCGGGGTTCGTGCGAGCTTCTTTCGCCTCAGGATGATACACCCTCATGCTTTAGGGAGGGTCGACGGGCTATGCTCCTTATGGCTTAAAAAAATCGATCGGTCTCATCAGTATATTGAAATAGCCGTCTGAGGAATTTCCGAAGGCCTCGCATGAACTCCCGATAAATACTGGGTAGACTTGCATAAATTCACGATATCCCGGAAAATAGTTAAACAGACTCAGCCGGGATCGAAAATTCCTCAGTTTTTGAGTACCTCAATATCTCAACGCGGAGAATAGCGTGTCGCTTCATGAGGTATATACCCATTCGCTGCCGTCATCTGTTCCATGCTGGGATTGTGATCCCTAAGTCAACTTGATCAAGCGTCCTCGCCACGGAGAATTAATACTCGGAAGGATTCTGCGCAATATGAGCTTCGCATCCCCATGAAGCCAGATGACTTACGGACTCCGGAAAAGAATCATTCTCCCCCGATTAGCTCCTCAATCCGGAGCTCATGTGACCCGATTGAATTCCTGTCTCCACGAGACTGACGATGGCTTGAAACTAATCTTTATCCATTTCAGGCCATCAGCGATCATGGCATCTGCGGATGTGCATCAGAACGGATCCCCCTCCCCTAGGAGTGACCACGTGAGTGCCTCTCGATTTCAATCCTGCTGCCATGAATCCCCGCATTCCTCGAATTCACGTTCACAATTCCTCTTTCCAGGGCGTACCAAGCAGCAACGGGCACGACTCCATGAAAGAGTCGTCGAGCGCTGACAAGGAGAATACGAAGAACAGGTGAGTTTTCCTCATCCAGAGAAAGCGACGGCCCTGTCTCAGCGACCATTGAATCCATCTCGATACGTGGAAAACTTGAAAAGTTTTATAACATAATTGAATCACGTTCCTATTCCAGATCTCGATCACGTTCTGTTCAAAAAGATCGGCGTCCTCGCGAAAAGGACCAAAAAGATAGAGACAGCAAACGCCGCCGTTCGAAGGAACGAAGTAAGAAATCCAGGTCTCGTTCCAAGTCGAAAGACAGAAAGCGTTCCAAGTCTCGGGACAGAGACAGAGACAGAAGACGAAAGTCTCGTTCCAGGTCGAGAGACAGGCGTCGACGCAGTAAATCCCGAGACAATCAACGAGGCAGGCGCGAAAACAACAGAAGATCGAGGAGTCGCTCCCGTGACAGGAGGAAGGACAGGTCTCGAGACCGAAGGCCTAAGAGATCCCGCAGCCGTGATCGGGATAACTACAGAAGACGCAGGTCCAGGAGTCCGCGCAATAGGCGGAGGTCGATATCCCGATCACCGATTCGCGGTAGAGGTTTGAGTCCATTCCAGAGAAAAGGCGGGGAAGACATGAGCACTGAGGAGAGAGATCTGCGAACCGTTTTCTGCATGCAGCTCAGCCAGAGGATTCGCGCTCGTGACCTCGAGGACTTCTTCAGCGCCGTCGGAAAAGTGCGTGACGTTCGTATGATAGTCGATAACAAAACCCGAAAGAGCAAGGGAATCGCCTACGTTGAATTTTTCGACCTCGAATCCGTGCCTCTAGCCATGGGACTCAACGGTCAAAAGCTATTCGGCGTCCCTATCATTGTCCAACCGACACAGGCCGAGAGGAACCGTCAAGCGAACCAGACGGCTGCTTCGACGAAGGGTCCGATGAGGCTCTACGTCGGTAGTTTGCACTTTGACATTTCAGAGCAGATGCTCAAAGAGATCTTCGAACCATTCGGAAGACTGGATCGCGTCGAGCTGATCAAAGAAGACACCGGAAAATCTAAAGGATACGGATTCGTAACGTTCCACGAGGCGGACGCCGCAAAAAAGGCCATGGAGCAGCTGAACGGTTTCGAGCTCGCCGGACGCCCCATGAAGGTCGGGAACGTTACTGAAAGAGGTATGGACGGCAGCGCGCCTTCGATTCTCGATAACGAGGAGCTCGATAGAACCGGTATAGAGCTCGGAGCTCACGGTCGCCTCGCATTGATGGCTAAACTCGCTGAGGGAACCGGGATTCAGCTCCCCGACGCGGCCAAGACCGCTCTGCAACAAATGCAATCCGCTCCGTCTTTCGGTCAAACGAACAACGCCCAGCAGGAATCTATAGCTACTCAGTGTTTCCTCCTGAGCAACATGTTCGACGCGGCCGAAGCTCACCAAGAAAAAGACTGGGACCTCGAACTTCGCGAGGACGTTCTACAAGAATGTCGTAAACACGGCGGAGCCGTACACTGCTTCGTAGACAAGGAAGCAGCCAACGTCTACGTGAAATGCCCATCGATCGCTACGGCGGTGGCCGCGGTCGGCGTTCTGCACGGGAGATTCTTCGCGGGTCGCGTGATCACCGCCGCTTACGTGCCCGTCATGACGTACCATCAACTTTTCCCCGATGCAGTCAGTGCGAAGACCCTCCTGTGAGAGGGAACGCGTGAATCGTCCAGTTGTTATGCTTCGTCGTCGTAGCCGCTGTCTTCATTGAGGTTAGAGTCCGAACAGCCTGAGACATCCATTTTGGAGTCGAGAGCTGAAGGAAGAACTCAGTTTAGACTCGACGAAGTGAGCCCTGAAATATACCGAAAATACATACATGGGACGACTATACGTGGGAGAGAGACTCCGGATAGACAGACTTACATCTGTACATGCGTCTAAGGATTCGCCATACTAATAACTACATTTAAGCAAACTCGATTGAGAAGAGTGTCAGGCATACGATATGTAATCACAGTATAGTTTACAGAGTAGTGGGCAAGCTTGCTTTGCTTGAGTACCTTATTATCATCAGGGCGGTTCGTCATCGTCCGAACAACCAGCAGATAGCCACTGAGACTCACGGCTCTCCGAACTCGAGCTTCACCAAGGAAGGCTTGGAAAACAAAAGTTATCTCTCCTCGTTTCCGTTGAACATTTTCCCCCGGAAATTTCTATGTAGACAGCAACTCGTCCATAAAGTGAGTCCCTTGCAGACTTGGTCATCTTCGTTGATTGAGAAGAAGAAGAGAATTCAGGGGAGCCACGGCATCATTCGATCCATAATCAGTCAATCACTCAGTCACGCGCGCACGCACGCACGCCCCCACGTGCTCGCTCGTTCGCTCGCACGTCACTCACGGTGGTGATGACGTTTACGACGACGGCCCCATCCTTGATGATCGCTTGGTCGGTCGGTCGACCGATCGATTGAATGATTGATTACGTGGAACACCAAAGTTTCATCAATCCGCTCGCTCAAGTGTAAGAATAAACGATGCGTTTCCCACTATATTAGTAAGGAGAATATGCGCGTTAATATATGCTACTGAAACACATATCTCCGATCCTTATCGCCTCTCCAATCGACTCATCCGCGAAGCGATCGATCTCTCTATCGATCGATGATTGTCTTCT